GTCATACGATACGTTAGACCGTCCAACTTTGAGCGGCAGAGTGAAAGATTTCATGAACATTTAAAAACTTACTATGGTTTAGGTTGTGTATCTTTGATCTTAGTTTTTTATTTCACCAATGTTACATTTAAAAGTTTTGTCAATTATCTCTTAGGTTGATATAATAATGTTCGTATTAGGACTTCACTTAAATAATTCATAAATGTTTAGTATAACTAGTGCCATTAAGATTGATAATAACCAGGTTAATTCACCGGAAAAATGTAATTTTATAATTAACAAAACAAGTTTTCATGGAATATTGACTAAAGCTTTGAAAATCTGTGAATAAACATTGAACACGAATTAGGATGTAGGTTAACTAAGCCGCGTCACTATAACCCTCTAACAATTTCGCATTTTTTATTTTGTTTGGTGTCACCCCTTTCCCCTATTATCTTATTATTTTAACTGGATAACATATTGTTTTGACAATATAGTTTACGATTTTTCGATTTGGTGTCACCCCTTCAATGGTGTCACCCGCCTAGTGAAGCTACTGGGCTAATCGTTTACCTACACAAAACATGAGCATCTCGTGTGTACAGCCAATTTGTTAATCATCTTCGACATTTTAAAATCTTCACACTTCATGTACACGTATTTATGAAACTTTTTATGAACTACAGTTTAAAACAAAGCGTCAACCAAAGAAACTATATATTTTACCCTCAGCATTAATGAATTTGTATTCAAATCAGTGTTTCTTCCAGAGTTTTTTCTCCTCCGGGGGTACACTTGAAATTTTCGGAGGGGGGGGGGGGGGTGCGGGCACTGTCAAAAGTATATATTTTCTAGATAAATTCCATTTCGTTCGAGATTTTCGTTTCGAAGAACTGCCTGGAAGAAATTTTGATTCAAATGTACTTCCATAACGCCTTCTAATATACAAAAAGTTTTTTTTTAATGTTGGTATTCTAACATGCCTTTACAGTTGAATTTGTTACGGTACGACGTCTTCCATTCTGCGTGAGGATAAAGTTTAATGATGTTGTGTGTCTCGAAACCAGTAGCGTAGCAAGGGGGGGGGGGATATATGTCCCCGGGCGCCGACCTTAGGGGGCGCCAAAATGGGTTGGAAAAATAAATTGAAAGGTTGAGGGGGGTGCAAATCGAAAGTATGAGGGGGGGGGTGCACATCGAAATCTTGAGGGGGGGGGGGGGGGGGGGGTGCAAATCGAAAGTTTGAGAGTGGGTGCAAAATAAATTCTTGAGGGGGGGGGGGTTGCAAATCGAAAAGTTTGTCCCCGGGCGCCGGGAAGGGTCGCTACGCCTCTGCTCGAAACAGCTGTTGACGTGGTTGAATGTCAAAACTCCCCAGTGTTCAACGGAGTAGTTTAAAAATGACGTCACGTTATTTTAGCGGATTTAAACCTCTAACACCTATCTTAAATCTTGTTTACCTTCATTAGATTATCATGTATCGTCACAAAAAAGCCAGACTACCCAATTAAATGAATTCCATAATGCCCCCCCCCTCCCCCATGTAAACACTGTTCTGACAAAAACAAACGTTTTCGACATCTTGTTACCTTTAAGAAATAAATCTATGTCAAGTTATATTTATTGACTCCTCCTGTGGACCACGTAGCACACCGTCATACAATTCAGATCCCCCCCCCCCCTCTTTCCTGAAACATATTTCTGTGACGCCATTATCGACCCTTGGAGTGATTAATCTTAAGCCTATATAAAACGTACAGTGCATTAATTCTTTATCATGCAATCTTAATTTGAATTCAGTGTGTAAAACCGGATGTTATTTTTAGGTACATAGTGTGTAAGTTTGGTAAATGTGTATGTAGGGTCATGGTATTGTAGATGGGATAATAAATATGGTTTTTAGATCTTTTTTTTTTAATTAAATGCGTTCTTTATGCTAAAGCAAAGAACACATTTACTTTTAATACATCACATATATAATTTTTGATATTATTGTTAAAAAAATTGATATTTTTTAAATCAAATTTTAATTGAAAGAACAAATTTACTCTTAATAAATCACAAATGTAAGTTAAAAAATTGTTTGTTCATTTTATTCTCGATTGTGTATGTTGGTAGATTGTATGCCTTTTTAAAAATGTACATATTTGTAGTTGGCCTATATGCAATTTGGTGATTATGGGTTAAGGTTGTTTTTTTAACATATGCATTAGTTTGTTAAAATATTTGTAAGACATTATTACAAGTTTAATGTTTAAGTTATTGATTGGCATATGTGAAAGGAGAATGTGATTTTATCTTTATTACACATAAGATACTTGATAAATGTAGATCTAACACTTATTTTTGCATCTAAGAGGTATATATATATATATATATATATATATATATATATATATATATATATATATATATATATATATATATATATATATATATATATATATATATATAATAGCCTTAATGCTTGAGTGTGAGGAATGGTAAATCTTTGCAAGTATTTACTGAAGTGTGTTTTGAAAATAGCGGTTACTTGCTTAGGTGCTCTTCGTGTGCACAAATATAATGGTTGTTGCAACTTTTTACCAACAATATATTTAAGCTTATGTGCAAATAAAATACATTTTGTTGTTGAAGACGTTAGAAATGTGTCGTCACATTTTATTTCCACACCTGATGTTGTATGCGTGTAATTTGTAAAATATGACAGCCGGGTGTATTGCTGTCCACCATACTTCATCGGATACCATGTTTTGTTTCTCATGTTTGATAGTCACCAGCGTCTAATGTCTGTAAATAACATGTCTGGGGGGAGGAGGGTTGTCCCAGAGGCGTGGCGGGGGGGACATATGTCCCCGGGCGCCGACCTTAAGGGGGCGCCAAAATGGGTTGGAAAAACAAATTGAAAGTTTGAGGTGGGGGGGGGGTGCAAATCAAAAATTCGAGGGGGGGGGGGTGCAAATCGAAAGTTTGTCCCCGGGAAGGGTCGCTACTTCTCTGGGTTGCCCATATTTGATGTCACGCTCTGAGAAAAGGAGTGGGGTCCATAACTGAGACGATGTGTGATGAGGGGGAAGGGGGGAGTTCAGAAAGTGTGACTGATTTTTTTTTACATTAAAAAATTTTTAGCAGCTCAATTTTAGCCGTTATCTCGCGTTTAAGATAACTGCTGTAGTGAGTTGTAAAAGAAATTGATTTAAACAATCTGTTTACCGATCTCAGTCAATGTTTTAGAGATGTGACGTCATTTTATGTAGGGGGGCTAACTTTTTGTGATGTTGTGGGACTGGGAAGAGTGACGTAAAAATCGTCCTCAAAAACATGACGTCATTTACGAATGACCCCCTAATATCGATTCGTGGCATTATCTAATGTATGTTATCGACATGCATGCAATTTCTGTCATATGTTCTCGACATCAAACAGCTGATTAATCAAACTTTTTCAAAGTTAAATAAAAAACAACATCAGAACAATCTTTTTAAATACAATCTTTACTGCAGAAAACAAAACAAACAAACCGAAAAAAACAAATCCTCGAAATAAAGTACATAACGATATAATTGTGAATAAATAAATAAATAAATAAAAACATCAACATCACATGATATGCGCTATCACGTGATAGATCAGTGATAAAAAAAACATGTGTAATGACGTCATCAGTTCCTGTGTGAAAGCAATGAACTACTGATGCTCTCCCGTTAAACAACAGAACAACTTTTAACCTTGGTAGTGTCCACAATTTTTTAGATCCGTGTATCAGTCGATTGTATGTTTCACACCCCTCTCCCATTTCATATCGTTCTTGCTCACGACTCATGGGGTAGATGAAGCAGAGTTTATCTGTTTCAATGACCTCGATATGCATGAGCATAGTGCGATACTAAATGTATGATAATAATATTTTTGATATTTATGATTATATACTTTCTTATAAATTATTATATTTTATAACCCCCTACATCCTTGGCAGACTGGGAGGGGATTAAGGGTGGGTGCATTAATTAAATTATCAACACCTCATTAGCTTGCTCTTCTACTCTCAAACAAGAATTAATGAGTGTAATAAGTGTATTTCCTAATTACTATCCCGGTGCAGTGAATGGTACTGAGCTACAATACTTAAAGATAAAATGATAATTGACCAAAAAAAATCATGATAAAATAGAATAAAACGTAATGAAACGGTAATACATGCTCACACGCACAAACACACACACGCGCAGTCCAGAACTTGAGGAAATTACCTCCATTCTACATATGCAAAAACTCAGTAAATCCAAACATAAATTCAACATTTACATATTTTATAATCCAACCACACACACACACACATATATATATATATATATATATATATATATATATATATATATATATATATATATATATATATATATATATATATATATATATATATATATATATATATATCAATAGTTAATGCGTACTTGGTCTATACAAAAACAACCCACTGTTATATTACCTAATGCAGTCAGCCTTGGTTCAAAACGGTAAATTAATAAAATGTCAGACAGGGAAGTAACTCAGTAGGGCGTAGTACTTTACTTATCTTATTTCTTTTATACAAAGAGTACATAAAACTTGACTGCTCTGTGGAATAACAAGCCTATAAATGTCATTCACCTTCTACTCTATATTGAATTAATTTATTTTTTTGTTTCACAATTCTGTAATTTAGTGCAAAAGATGAACTCTCATTCGCGAAAAGCCAATATGTTGTCGCTTGCCTTTTGGGAATGCTAAAAGGACAAGGCATTAAGAGAGGTATGGCCAATTTGATTACAGAACTTCAAGGTAAAAACTATGAGCAAAGGGGAAGGTCAATTTAGAAAAATGAAATTTATAATACGTTACAATATTTGCATTTTTATAATAACAAGAAAACAAATTTTGTATTAATATTTTAAAACTAATATACATTTTTATGTAGGCATGTTTATTATCAATATATACAACAATATCATATATAAAAATCAAAGATTGATAATTTTTATCAACACATAAACAAAATCTGGTTACTACGGCAAACAAATATTGATCTTTAAGATCTTCCAGATCCAATAAAGAGTGGACTGCGCCGTTGGGTCACCGGGAAAAAATGTCTTTTGAAAGTTAACTCTTCCGTTTGAAAACTTTACCAAAGTTAGGCACGATTCAAACTATTTTTTTTTCAGGCTGGGCAGGAATTCGTCATTTTCTCAGCGATACTCAGCTTTCTGTCAAATTCATTTGAAAGTGAACACTCGGGTTCATAAGGGAAAAGGCTGGTATTCGGCGGGTTAGCGTTTTGTATGATCCTGCTAGCTTCAAGATGCCAAATTTCTATCGACAATAACTGCGTTATAAGTTTTTCCGGCTCTTTGACGCTAAACGACAACTGCACATATGGTGTGGGGTAGAGAGAGATGTTGTTTTTGAAATGATTGAAATCAAATATTTTTTCGTATTTCTCGTCCCTGTTAAGTTTCTTATATGGCGTCACATAGGGTATGGAATGGTGGAGCACGGCCTTGCTGAATCGCTTGGCGTAGATATCCCCCTTGTGGTAACGGATTCGCACGCCGCCTTTGATGTTCTCCAAAATGGCGCCGATGTCTCTCATCTGATCAGGCTGCAGCTCGGGGCAACGGGTCACGTGGGGTAGTTCCACAATCGGCTCAAGTGGACCAAAACTATCCGGGCTCCGTTCGCTGACTGCTCTGAAATTGTCGTTTGGTACGAAGCATATTTTAATGCTCGGTTCTAGAATGTCCTGGGTCAACGCGGTAAAACAGTAGTAATTGACTTTAATTTTCATGCAAGGTTGCAGAGACAAACTTACTGGGAGCGTAAGAAAATGCGCCAAAGTATCGGCGTTTGCACCGTTAGCAGTTTCTGGAGGTCTACGCTCGCTGCGGGTATTTAGATCACCCGCATTGATCGACATGTTCCCCGGAAATGTATCAGAATTCATCGAGGTCAGATTCTCAAACAAGGGTAGGTTTGCTGGAGAATTCGAACTGTTCGCATGTTCGGAAAGTCTATTTGGGTTGTCCAGTTGGTCTAAGAATGCAACTATTTCACTCCAGCTGTTGTATTCTGTATTGTTCCTTTCCTGTGGGTTGTGTAGGTCTAAATTGCTATCTATGTTGAAAGCTGACCCGCAGGTCGAGAGATGCGGAGCCGGAACAAAACCGTTAGCTGCCGGGATGTTGTTGCCGTTGGTGTGCCCGTTCAAACCGTTTGGGTACTGATGTAAATCTTCACGGTCTACGTTGTTGTAGACTTGATACGGCGCATTAGCTGTACCCGTGGTTATATTAACAAGCTTGTTTGATTGCAGTGTCGAATCTGTAGCAAGTACAAACCCATTCGCACCTGACACGGTGTTCTGATATGCTGTTGCTGACACGGATTGTCCGTTTGGAGCAAAAGCAGTAGTGTAGGCCTGAGTTGAGACAGGGGTGATGTTGATAGGGTTTACATCGTTACAAAACAATGGACCAGCGGTGAATTGAGTAGCAGGTCGCACCGTAGGATGAGAGCTCTGAACGGATTTGAAGTTCTGAACCCCGGAAGTTGGCAAAAAAACATTCTCGAGATAAGTAGCAGCATTATGTCCTAGCGCTTGTCCCATAACCGGGCCATTCAAGTCACCGGAAAACCCGTCCGTTTCGATATCGCTGAAATCACGGAAAGGACTGCGGCTTCTGAAGCTGAGAAAAGACATGTTCTCTTGCAGAACCCCATCGTCGGAGCCCTCACTCCCTGTACTGGAAGCATCACTGTTGATCTCGCTGACCGTACGCACCGAGTCCGGAGATTTTCTTCGACTTTTCTTAACACCCAAGGGTTCATCACTAAACTGGTAGACTTTGAACGGGTTCGGTCCTTCTTGATTGCGGTGCTTCACTAATTCTTTCACCCCGAGACTTCTCAAGGAGTTCCTGAAATTTTCCTTCCATTTCTTCAGGTCATCGGGACGGGGTGCATTATCGGGGGTAAACTTATTCGCCGTGTTGTAAAGTTTGTAAAACTTGAACAACATGTCCGCATCCTGATCGCCCCATTTTGTCGGCTTGTGATGTCGCCATGGCAACTGCCAGATGTTTTGACCCCGGTCAAGCCATTTCAGGCCGCCGGTTTGATTTTCGTCCAGCAGACGCTTTAGAAGGTCGATAAACCCGGGCCTGTTTTCCTTTGGCGAAGACTTGGTGTTCTAGAGCAGAGAAAAATTATGAAAACATCAATGGCATTGGATAACAATTAATTTAGACAAGTGACTACTGTAAGATGGGATTTTTTATCACATTAGGCAGTGGACAACTTCTTTTCTAGCCCACGACATAGGATCGTTTTGGGTTACGTTTAGGGTCAGATTTTAGGACTATGACTAAACTTAGGGCTAGGGTGTTGATACGGTCATTTGCCGGCCTGTTCGCACACTGGCCGGCACACTAGGACAATGTCCGATGAGCTTAAAAATAGCATATTTCATACATTGGACGACTAACGCGCGAACTGGCTATGTAAATGTATTGTGTGTTTTGGTTTGTGTGTGTGTAAAAATAATACTGTTAATTAACTATCGCGCCATCTATGAACGTCACTTCTCGCCCTCTTGTCTCATGTCGCTCTCACCTCCCCTTATAAAACCAACACGCTCTAACCTCCCCTTATAAAACCAACACGCTCTAACCTCCCCTTATAAAACCAACACGCTCTAACCTCCCCTTATAAAACCAACACGCTCTAACCTCCCCTTATAAAACCAACACGCTCTAACCTCCCCTTATAAAACCAACACGCTCTAGCCTCCCCTTATAAAACCAACACGCTCTAGCCTCCCCTTATAAAACCAACACGCTCTAACCTCCCCTTATAAAACCAACACGCTCTAACCTCCCCTTATAAAACCTACACGCTCTAACCTCCCCTTATAAAACCAACACGCTCTAACCTCCCCTTATAAAACCAACACGCTCTAACCTCCCCTTATAAAACCAACACGCTCTAACCTCCCCTTATAAAACCAACACGCTCTAACCTCCCCTTATAAAACCAACACGCTCTAACCTCCCCTTATAAAACCTACACGCTCTAACCTCCCCTTATAAAACCAACACGCTCTAACCTCCCCTTATAAAACCAACACGCTCTAACCTCCCCTTATAAAACCAACACGCTCTAACCTCCCCTTATAAAACCAACACGCTCTAGCCTCCCCTTATAAAACCAACACGCTCTAACCTCCCCTTATAAAACCAACACGCTCTAACCTCCCCTTATAAAACCAACACGCTCTAGCCTCCCCTTATAAAACCAACACGCTCTAGCCTCCCCTTATAAAACCAACACGCTCTAACCTCCCCTTATAAAACCAACACGCTCTAACCTCCCCTTATAAAACCAACACGCTCTAACCTCCCCTTATAAAACCAACACGCTCTAACCTCCCCTTATAAAACCAACACGCTCTAACCTCCCCTTATAAAACCAACACGCTCTCACCTCCCCTTATAAAACCAACACGCTCTAACCTCCCCTTATAAAACCAACACGCTCTAACCTCCCCTTATAAAACCAACACGCTCTAGCCTCCCCTTATAAAACCAACACGCTCTAACCTCCCCTTATAAAACCAACACGCTCTCACCTCCCCTTATAAAACCAACACGCTCTAACCTCCCCTTATAAAACCAACACGCTCTAACCTCCCCTTATAAAACCAACACGCTCTAGCCTCCCCTTATAAAACCAACACGCTCTAACCTCCCCTTATAAAACCAACACGCTCTAGCCTCCCCTTATAAAACCAACACGCTCTAACCTCCCCTTATAAAACCAACACGCTCTAGCCTCCCCTTATAAAACCAACACGCTCTAACCTCCCCTTATAAAACCAACACGCTCTAACCTCCCCTTATAAAACCAACACGCTCTAACCTCCCCTTATAAAACCAACACGCTCTAACCTCCCCTTATAAAACCAACACGCTCTAGCCTCCCCTTATAAAACCAACACGCTCTAACCTCCCCTTATAAAACCAACACGCTCTAACCTCCCCTTATAAAACCAACACGCTCTAACCTCCCCTTATAAAACCAACACGCTCTAACCTCCCCTTATAAAACCAACACGCTCTAACCTCCCCTTATAAAACCAACACGCTCTAACCTCCCCTTATAAAACCAACACGCTCTAGCCTCCCCTTATAAAACCAACACGCTCTAACCTCCCCTTATAAAACCAACACGCTCTAGCCTCCCCTTATAAAACCAACACGGTGTTAAAATCAAGTGATTGGTATCCGTATATTTATATAACGTTAGATGTGTGTCTATTGTTTTGCTCACGTTCAAAGGTCGAGCACTACTACAGAAGTAGAACGCGTAAATCGTACACTACTTGCGTGTGTCCGTTTCATTCAAGTGGCTAGCGATAAGAACAGCTCACTAAGAGCGCCATTTTAGGAGATTTGTCTATTATGGCTGGTAATGTGGTTGGAAATTTTATGAGATTGTAGGAGATGTGTCTATTATGGCTGGCAATGTGGTTGGCAATATTATGAGATTTTAGGAGATTTGTCTCTTTTGGATGGTAATGTAATAGACAAGTTTATGAGATGAGTCTATTATGGCTGTCATGTTAGTCACACTCTTGAATAGTTACATACTGTCACGATAGTCAACCATTTTCAATAGTCACATATTGTCACGATACTCATAAAAATTCATATACTATCATGATAGTCACTCACTCTTAAAATAGTCAGCTAGTCACGAAAGTCACAAACTGCCACGTTAGTCATATATATATATATATATATATATATAGTCACATACTGTTACATTAGTCACTCACTATTATAATAGTCACATATTGTCACATACTCTTAACTAGTCAACAACTGTCACGATAGTCACTCGGAGGGGGGGGGTGTAAATGTGCCCCCTACCTCCCTTGAAGAGAGGTAACTCTGAACTAGACTGGAGCCCCTTAGGCAATAGAATTACCAGTTCTGGTTTCTTTTTGTCTTTTTCTTCTTGACAGTTTAAAAAAAAAATCGGTAACCCAAAATTCCTCATTTCGAACAGCAACCTATCTAGGAGAGAAAACGCCGAAATCAAGCAGGAGTGGTGCCCCCTAAGACGATTGGATTATCAACCCAGATTTCCTTTTTGACAGCTTCTGCAGCTGGCACCAGACATATTGCTACGCCAACATCGAGAGATTGATAGCGATACAACGATCTCTTCATCCACTGCACAGGTACACACCCGAGGCTAAATGGAGCCATATCCAGAGGCGTAGCGACCCCCCTGGCGCCCGAGGACAAACTTCTAATTTGCCCCCCCCCCCCCCCTATATATTTTTTTTATGTTTGGAACATTCAATTCAGCAGCTAAAATGAGCTATTTTAATTTTTTTTCCAACCAATTTTGGCGCCCCAAGGTTCGGCGCCCGGGGACATATGCACCCCCCCCCCCCCACTTCGCTACGCCTCTGGCCATATCTGCCTTTCAATATAACCAGTTTGTATCTTTTACTTAGATTTAATACGTTTTTAGCTATGAAAACACAAAACCACTTCCATTTAAATAAATTTAAACTCGCAAATCTCTCCTTAACTCTTGACCCAGTCAACCATTATCGTTTCTTTTATCGTAATTTACGGGTCAAATTTTATGAATGAGAGTTTGAAAGCCACGCCCTGTATGTATACGAATGACTGGTTGTAAATAATTTAGAGGGTCTGTTCATGAATCCACCCAATGCTCTCAATGGGTATTGCAAAAAACACGTCTGACTCCAACCCTCTCGTAAAACTTTCGTTTCACTGGTGTGGTGTAGTCCGTGGTATGCCGAGAGAATGTTGGATGCTTTGACAGACAGACAGACGGACGGACGGATGGACGGACGGACGGACGGACGGACGGTCAGACAGACAGACAGACAGACAGACAGACAGACAGACAGACAGACAGACGGACGGACGGACGGACGGACGGACGGACGGACAGACAGACAGACAGACAGACAGACAGATACATAGGTATATTTTTCTTTCAGCATTAATAACTGTAATGTATTATTTTTTTAATTTTCAGCGTTAATAACTGCAGTGAATGAAACCCATGTTTTGTGCACCTGTTCAAGATCATGAGGCGAGATGACAGGGTCACAATACATCAAGGCAGCATTAATGCACTACACTACACAATCACAGCACGACAAAACCACTACAGGACAAAACCACTGCATGAAAAGATCACTGATGACAGCACAGTTCCGGGACAAACTGGTGTCGTTAGGTTTGTATGTCGCTAGGTTTGTATGTCGCTAGATTTGTAAGTCGTTAGGTTTGTATGTCGATAGGTTTGTAAGTCGCTAGGTTTGTTTGTCGCTAGATTTGTATGTCGCTAGGTTTGTATGTCGTAAGATTTGCATGTCGCTAGGTTTGTATGTCGCTAGGTTTGTATGTTGATAGATTTGTATGTCGCTAGATTTGTATGTCGCTAGGTTTGTATGTCGCTAGGTTTGTATGTCGATAGGTTTGTATGTCGATAGATTTGTATGTCGCTAGGTTTGTATGTCGCTAGATTTGTATATCGCCAGGTTTATATGTCGCTAGGTTTGTATGTCGCTAGATTTGTATGTCGCTATGTTTGTATGTCGCTAGGTTTGTATGTCGCTAGATTTGTATATCGCCAGGTTTATATGTCGCTAGGTTTGTTCTAATAAAAACTTGGGCAGCGCGATAAAATAATTTAACGAATTTGATTTGCTGGTGTCGCTGTTAGATTCAGTGACAAGGGTTAAAGGTCAGGGTTTTGGCTTACGGCCAGAGAGAAAGGTAGTGGGAATAACAACAACAAAAAATATCCTCCATTAAGGGCTGCCGGTATGTAGGTGTTTAAACACTCGATTATACACTTTATAAGAGGCTGCTAGGCATCAAGTTAACCGGCTATCACATACAAATACAGTGTCGCCGATAAGGATATTACACTTCTTACATGTAAAACCCGAACTTAAATCTGTGACCCTAACTCTTTGTCTTACCATAACGTGTTTAAGTCAGGGCCTGATTTATAACCTTGTTGTGTGCTAAGGTGTTCGTTAAGGCTAGGAGCTACAGGATAAACACTTTTTTGTTATTAGTCAAGCAAATCTACTGAAACTTCACCCATATAATGTATGCTCAATGGGATTTTAAAAAATGGTGTCCAAAAAGAAAAATATTTTTGGTTGCCATGGTTACGTCCGCCATATTGGATTTTTGTTTATCATTTTCAAAATGCTAAGGCTCAGCAACCACTAGAGGTAAACACACAGAAATGCAAGCATTTTGTAGAGTGATGTTAGCCTGAAACTTTCTATGAAGTACTTTTTAAGAAAAGGGTTTAAAAAAATTATTTTTAATTTTTAAAACCTAGACAGTTAAAAAAAAGCTGAAATTTGCTCAAATTCAACATATTTCAGTCCATAAAATCTAAAGTAAGGAAAATCTTTAAAAAATGCTTCATAGAAGTTGTTTATATATGTTAGAAGAATAATCAGGCTAAGTTTCATTACAATACATCCAGAACTAACAGAGGAGTAGGGATTTGAAGAGTGAATTTTAACGTTTTGAGAAAAACGCAAAAAACTAAAGAAAAATGAAAAATTTCATTCATAACCTAACAAATAGTAACAAAATTTGGTTTTAATTTATGCAGGTTTATTTAACATATAAACATGCTATGAAGTATTAAACTTGCAAGTACATTTTAAATAATAAAGTAAAAAAATTGTCGTACAAAGACAATGCGTCAAATACGTAAAGGTAAAAAACATTTTTATTTTCTTAAAATAAGTTGTTTAAAAAAATGGGCAGAACCACACCTAACAGTTCTATTTTGTTAAGCATATTAACATTTCATTTTGGCAACTGCTACTTTTTCCTGCCATCTAGCATTTTCTTTTTTCAGATTAGTTGTCCGGCAAAATGTTTCAATGGTTTTTTTTTAAATTATTGCTACCACTATAACTATAATAATTGATTTATCCATCTCTTCAGCTCTCTTTATCTCTTCCTGTTAATACTTGTACACTGACCAAAATAAATGCTCTTTTTCCAAGTTATTGTCTGGTTTCATACTGCTTGGCTTTCTCTTGGCAAAGGTCAATTCTATAAAGGAAAGTAGAACATAAGTTATTCTAGTGGACAAAAAAAAACAACACTTTACCACAAACACATTTTGCATTGAATATTTATTAAATCCTAAACTAAGTTGCAAAATCATTGTAAGGTATAAGCTATAAATAAACTTTACAACTGTTTTGGGTCCAGAACAAGATTTTGAAAAGCGGTTTGCCGTCACTCGGATATATGATTCTCCTTTTTGCAGTATTTAAAAGTTGCCATATTCTTTCACTGAGTTCACTTGGTCACAAGCTCTTCAATTATTTTCTTCATATATTGTTATGTGAAACAAAATTATGTGTAGGGAAATTACCTTGAACCAGGGCAGCTTGCAGGGTTTTCAACACACACTGTAGGCCTAAATTATAGGGGAAATGAATTTATTAATAAAATATACAAATGTAAAAAAAAAATAATCATAAAACCATAGTGATATTTTGTATGAATATAAGATTAGGAGAATCACTGAATAGAATCTGATTCATTAATTTGAGGAGATAAAAATCTTTTGAATTAGATCTAGTATCTGAACCACTAATGAGTCTAATGACAAACAGGTCTACTAACCTAAATAAGATGTTCAAAGAAAAAAAAAATATGTAGGCCAACTAATTAATCTTTAAATTCAAATAGTTTAATGAATATTGAAATACTCACTGCTTGATGTCCGTGCATCTATTCCTTGTAAACAAAATTAAGGCTGTAGTTTTCATAATCAGCTGTAGAACATCACACACATGAGACTAGTTTGTTGTGTACTCTTTTATGATTTTATCCTTGTTACGCATTAGAACACTTGTAACATGTGCAGGCCAACTTCACCCGGGGATTACTTAAGTTATTAAAAAAATCGTTCTATCTGATAAGTCTGTTTTGGGTTCGATCACAGGGTGACAGTGTAATTCTTGCTGTGTAATAACTTACTACACACACGTAACTACCGTAACACACTGCTTACTCTTGTCGTGTGCGGTAGGCTTGTGTAGACTAAATCTAGTAGTAGTAGCAGTGAATCTACAGAGAATGGTGGCTGGTATGAAATCACGCAACTTCTAAACAGTTTAAACATTATTAAACCGCCAAAAATATTTGATACGATGAGATTTGTCTAAAAAGTTTGTAAACAGCTGATTGAAATTCCACAACAAGAATCAGTTCATCACTAGGCACGCCGGAAGCGATAAACTAGCTAGCGAATCGAAAATTTTAACACTGATAATGCCGAGTCCGCCAGCCAATAGAATTTTACCTTGCTTCCGGGGTAAGGCCGAGTAGGGAAATTTGGTATATGTAGGTCAAAATCTTTAAAAAGTGTGTTTCATTTGAACATTCGAAATTAAATGGAATATTTTCATTGGTTGACAAATTTACCTTGTCGTTATAGACAAGAAAAGGAGCTTTCCGGCGATACTAAACACGCGGTAGCTATTTTTAGTTATCTGTATGTTTTATAGCAGTAAACTTTGGCAATTTTCGCAGTATTTTTGAAAAATTAGACAAAACATGCATATACATGCCTCACAAAAAAATTAATTTAAAATAAAAATAAGCATTTTCCAACAATATGTTATGTGGTTTTGTATTCAGAAATGGATATACTTTAATAATTAGGTCAAAACTGAAATTTGACATCTGACCCCCAATACACTTAAATCGGGTGCCGCACATAGCCTTAAATTTAGCTCACTTACACCCCCCCCCCCGCCCTATTTAAAATTACATAAGGGGTCGTCCATAAATGACGTTATACTCCAAGTAGTAGTAGGGGGCGGGTGTTCCTAATTTTGCAACGATCTGTGATAAGGGGAGGGAGTTCACATTTTTAAAATTAAAAAAATAGTAATGTTAGAAAGTGAATTATAGTCGTTATTTTGCGTTTTGAAATCTGTTTTAGTTAATTGTAATTAATTGATTAACATACCCGAACATAAAACCCCCCATTAAACTGCAATTTAGAGGGGACTATAAAATATGAAAATATTATGAAAACAAAGATATTGAAAGTATTCAGATTATATTTACTTTTAATCATATTTTACCACGTTTAAAGTATCTCATCCTATTTTTTAAAATTCTATTTTCATCTGCAGTAACATCGGCAAATAAGGGTAACATCATAGAGGCATGCACCAACGTGAAGAAAAGAAGTGAATTGGACAGACGGAGAAATACATAGAGATCTCAACGTCTGAATATCATTCAGCTCGACTCAATCAAGCAATATAAAAGTGGATCTAAGAGGGGTGTGTGGAGAAAGGGGGGGGGGGGGGGGGGTCCACGCCCCCTTTTCCAAAATTTTGAAATATTTATATAGAGGCTAAGAATTTCATCAACTCTACATTATCCCCTTTAAAAATAGGTGGTGGTGATTTAAAACACACTAATATCCGAGTTTTCTTTTTGTTTTTCACCCCTAGCTTAACCTTAGCCTTGACTCTATTCCAAACCCTAGCCTACTTCTGTACCTTCAAAAAAAAACGATCAATAGCCACGGCGGCAAAATAAATTTAAAAAAAAAAAATTACCGATACCCTTAATGCTAGCGATCCATTAAATATAAACCAAGTCGATATTCTCTCATTGGAAAAAAAAAAAGAATACCGTTGAAGTAAGCTAGATATTATCACCCTCAAGATTATTCACAAGTATTTGACTACCGTGACTAGTAGATAAGAACTCGACCATTATTTCAATGCAATCATCCCTAAAAACAAAATACTGCATTGTCACTGATGTAAATAATCAACCTAGTCTGTATCGTTCTTGGTGTTACTGTAGATGGATGTATATTTAATTCGAGCGTTTAAATTGTAAGAAATATTGGCCGATGTGCCATACTTACATAATTTTTCGGTGAGAATTAAATTAGTGCTTGAGAAAATCACCCCCCCCTATCTGATCCAAGCCCCAATCAACTCCACAATTAAAACGAAATATAACCTAGATCTAGTCCCAGCTCTACACACAAGCCCTGATCTAGTCGCATAAATATATTGATATATATTAAACAATAACAATATCTTTAGCTTTCCATTTTTGTTTAATATTCGGTTCAGTTAACATTTAGGTCAACTGCATTACATGTGTAATAATAGTATTGGTTAATTTAAAGTTACGCCTAGGCGTAAGTAATTTTAATTAAGGTCCATATTTAATTCTAAATTAAAACGATCTATTTTTTATTGCAAATTAATAAGGATAATCAAGAACAGTTATTTAATAATGCCAAATTAAGAATTAAAATTCATTCTATGTATTATACACAGGGATATCGGTTACGCGATACTATTTATTATTATCACAATGCTACTGATTTTACTACTGTGTAACTACTGTGCACAACAATAATGCTTTGCTTACCGAAGCTGCCTCTGCCATCTCGTTCGATAGCCTAATCAAACTGGCACAACATGTAATGCTCGGCACAAAGTAGGTCCGAGTTTTGATACTGTGTCCTAGTTAAGTGGGGGAAAAAGAAGTCGTGTCCTCCTTTTAAAAACGTCGTTAGCCTTTGTTACATCCAGTCTAAACAACCCAGTTACAAGAATCACAAGAATTCCAACTACCTCCACGTTTACGACGAATCCCCTCGTCGTTGCTATACTACACCCCGCGTCTAGAGAGCTACATGTAAGCTAACGTAACCGTCTGCCAATCAATGAACACTTCCGAGAAACGCGCTATTTTTAGATGAGGTCAAGGGATTTCCCAACGAGGAATAAATCTCACTGCATCAAGTAAGGCATGATGTCTTAAAACACATAACCGTGGTTGTAAATAAATATTGTAACATTGATTGCTGACTCAACACTCGGTTTCTGATTACGTGATGGTTGAGTTGACAGCAGTGGCGGAACTAGAAAAAAGGGGCCACCCCGCAAAAAAATTTTTTAGGCCCCCCGCCATATAAATATATAGGCCTATATATATATATATATATATATATATATATATATATATATATATATATATATATATATATATATATATATATATATATATATATATATACTCAAACACAAAATACGAACATAGGATACTTATTGCTGGCCTGTTCGTGTTTTGAGAAATACGTGTTTCTTTTTAATTAAATCAAATTACAGCATCATGTCATGCGCATAAGTGAATTAGCCTGTTTTGTGTAAATTAGTTTTATATTATATCTGCCGTAAGACCTCTAACATCATATAGGTCAAAAGAATATAAAACATGAAAGCTTTCTGTAAATAATGGTGTCTCGTGTCATGTTTATTTTTATGTTTTTTTGTATTAATTTTATAAATTTTAAATACATTTTCTTTTTATACAGTGTTATGTTATTCTTTAGTAAGTAATTTATAAACAAATAATAATAAAGAGAAGTAATTGCTTTTTAATTTGTTTAGTACAAATCTATTAAAAAGAGGCTTATGGGCATCACTATTTGACTATTTAAAAAAGGGAAATAAGTCATGGAAGTGGTTTGAACGTTTGCTTATCTTTGATAAGTTTGATTGTAGGAGAAAGAGGACTCGGCTTTCACAGTGGTTTAAAAACGAAGGAAAAATGACCAAGGGGTGGTGTCTATAGAATAAAGATAATCCAACCGCAGCTACGTTAATCTTTTTTACAAAACAAACATTAAGTCAAAAATGCAAGAAATTTTTTTTAACTGTAACAATTTTTTTATGGTCGGCCGTGGGCCCCTAAATGGCGTGGGCCCCCCCCCGCATTGCGGGGTCTGGCGGCACTGTAGTTCCGCCCCTGGTTGACAGCTTAAGTGGCTCTACGTGGGCAGGGGAGGAATTAAGGAAGACTGTAAAGCAGTGTAAACTGTAAAGGTTTTGTATTTTCCCGCCACTCTCAACACCGTACAAAGTTTTAGTTTTAGTCGTGTCCCCCCCCCCCCCTAGTGACCCCCCCCCCCCTCCCGAAGAAAAAAGTCTGGAATAAACACTGATAGGAGATTTTAAAAAAAAACACCAGAAGAATCAGTACCATTATAATGATATTTATAAAATGCGCTGTATATTGATACATTCATACCCCTTTATCCCGTTATAATAAATAAATACACCACCCCCACCCCATTCATACCATCAAAGACATAAAATAATGTTTTGGCCTATGTAGCGAAAATTTGTAAATTTGCCATGGGGTTTGCTTATTTTATTCCTGACCTGTATATATACTTTTTATATTGTAGCCCCCTCCCCTCTTAGCAACGCCACTGATTAAAGATACTTTAAATGGTGTCACAACGCTTTGAGAGAGCTACACATAAGCTTAAAATAACCATACAGAATTTCAAGATACGGGGTTAGTTAATTTTAAAATGCTAGGGTCAGAGATAGCCTCATCTTGATCCTTAAATTGGTTTGGTCTTCGGCCCATTAATACATGATTATGGTTTTTTTTTTACTAGCTACTTTCATTTTTAAAACCGGGATTTTCGCGTGGGTGTGTTGGTTTCGATGCGTGGGAGGCGAAAGGTCAGTTTCGATTATATTATGTAGGTTTAGTTAATCTCAACCTGCACAATAGCAACACAACATTGACCTTGCATATATAAATAGCTACTTTAAAAAACGTTCTGGTCGTGTAAAGAATAGTTTGCTCATCATAGAGTGTTTTTTTTTTTTTTTTTTTTACTTTTAGCTCAGTGGAGAAAGTTTTTAGAATTGATATTTGACGAGCTATTGGTATTTTGTGGAGTGGTGTGGGATGAGGGGGGGGGGGGGGTCTGACCTTTAAGATGATGGGCTACTTAGAAGAGGAGTAGTGGAGTAAGAAATAAATATGGTGAAGCTGTCAGTGTGCATTTATGAAAAACAAAACAGAAAGAAAAATATGCGGAGCAAATTGAGAGAGGGAAGAGGTGACTGTATTCGAAGGGTGGGGAGGGGGAGGCAGGGTTTTCTTACGGACATTTTTTATCTGGGGTCACTTGAAATTTCCCAGGATGGGGGGAGGGGGTGCTTCACTGGATAGTGGGTACCACTGAGAGATACCTAATATAAAAACTAGTAAAATAAGGGTTTTTTCTATTGGGCGTTAAGGTTAAAGCGAGTTAGCTTGACTTCATTATTTGACAATTGAGTAATGAGCATTATTTGTTTTTGTTTAGGAGGAGAACATTGTACAACATCTGGTGCAAGGTTGTAACGTCTGTGCGACCCTTTTCTTTACAAGAATGCAATGTGAGAGGTGGCGATGGTGATGTGAAGAAGATAATGATGAGAGATGTGATAATGTAGAGAAGATGATGATGTGATAATGATATGTTAGTGAAGTGATGGTAATGATTTGATGAAAATTATGATGTGATCGTGATGTTATGGCAAGATATGGTCATGATGTGAAGATAATGTGATGATGATTTGATGTTTAGGATGTGATGGTGATGATGTGGTGATTATGGTGATGTAAGTGATGATTGGATAATGATGTTGTGATTATGATGTTGATGATGATGTGATGGTAAGGATGTGATAGTGATAATGTGGTGATTATGATAATGTAAGCAATGATGTGATAGCAATGATGTGCTTATGATATTGATGCTGATAATGATGCGGTTGAAATTATGTGATGGTGGTGTTGTGAAGATGATGGTATGATGACAATGTGATGTTGATGATAATCACTTGAATACGATGGTTATGATAACGACGTGCATGAGATAATGATGATGTGAAAATGATCATGATTAAACCACACAAAATGTAACTTTAAAACCAAGTAAACACCAATATGTTGTAGTCATAAACATATTAGTAGTCGATCTATATTTAGAACACTGTCGAGCCCATATCATGTATATACATGTGTATGTTAAAATTATATATCTATTTAGGTAAGCTTTGCTTTAGTCAAATCGATAACGGCTTATTTATAAACGAACCCAACCCAGTTCATAACGCAAGCATGATCAGACTCAGTGGCGTAGCGAGGTCGGGTGTCACCCGGTGCGGCACTTAATGGTGTCACCCCCCCCCCAGAGGCGTAGCGACCCTTCCCGGGGACAAACTTGTAACCCCCCCCCCCCAATCAAACTTTCGATTTGCACCCCCCCCCCCTCAAACTTTCGATTTGCACCTCTTAAAAGACTATTTAACACTCGAATTAATCACTTAATTAAGAGGAATTATCATTTTTCTCTATGTATTTTGCTATTTTTGGTGTCACCCCCCTAAATGGTGTCTGCCGGTGCGGACCGCACCCCCCCCCCTCGCTACGCCTCTGATCAGACTATACGGGACTTATTATAAACAAAATGTGGGCTGCATTATGGGACGGGCAGATCCTGAACTCATGGAAAAACCCATACGGTTTAGCAATTTGAGGCCAGGTTTTGATGGGGAACGGCTCATCGAAATTACACCCGTGTTTAAGGTGACTCACTTGTCAATTGTAAAAATTTCAAAATCGTGACTGATGATTTAATGATGATTTAATGGGGGGGGGGGGGGGGGGGGGCGTCACTACAGAGGGGCTCTGAAGAATGAGGTGGTTGATAAGAAAGTGTGAAGTCACACCTACGTATTTTTTAAACTGACTTTTTGCTGTTTGTTTCGATTTTTTTTTTTCTAAATTGTAGTATTTATTTTATAATTATTTAATAAATATTGATCCTAATCTGGTATTTTAAAACGATGTGTATCGACGATAGGGAAGGGGGGGGGGGGGGGGGGTGATTCGGATGATAAGGGTGACCCGCTGACCATACATTTTCTTTTATATAAAACAGTTTTGCTTTCAATTTTAAACGCCCTTTCCCTCCACAGTATAAACTCTGCATCTCAGTGTAATTTCAGAAGACGGAATTCTTTATAACAATAATCTTTAATTTTTTTTAAAACTTCAGTTTTCTAAAGTCTTTTTACACTGAACAGCTCTTTTTTTTTAAAGTCTTAATAAATATATTTAAAAGCAAGAATGTGTGTAATAAAATAAAGTAACTTATAGTCAGTTGTAAGCATATCTAGTCTGCAAGACTATTTATTTACATGCCCGCACAGTAAAAAATAAACTTCATTTTTAATTAACACATTTTTATAAAGTCTTAGAAGATCATATTCTGAGTGGAATAGAAACAATTCTTAGACTTCCTTTATTTCTAGGAAATAACTTTTTTTTTTATCTCGCCTTGATAAACAGGCGAAGTAACTACAATAAATTGAATTTTAAAATATACTGTGTTGTTTCCCCTGTTGAAGTTTTAGATACTTCGGCGTAAGATTTTTATTTTAACATTGATACCGTCGTGTTAAACATATTCGCAGCTTAACAGCTGCCATTGTTTTATATTTGCTTTGAGCGTTATAATTTGAAGAATACTTCCTGAGCTAAATGTAAAAAAGGTTTCTTTCAGACATTTTACTACGGTAAATGGGAGGGGGGAGGGGGGCAGTGTTTTAAAATTTTCGTGGGGACGGATTAAATTTTCCGAGGTGAAGCGAACACAGGTAAACGAAGTTATTTTCTATATAATTCTGTTTAGTTCGTGGAAAGGGGGGGGGGGGAGGTAGAGATGTTTGAAGGAAACTCTGGTGGTGGAGAGGTGGGGGGGGGGGGGCATTTGAAACTTTCGGGGTGACACATTAAACTTCCATGGGTGAGGCAAGGGGAGCAAAACTATGTCTTTTATATAATTGTATATTTCTGTCTCTTTCTACCGGGTCGGGGACCGGGGACGTAGAGAGGCCTAAAAGAAAACACACAACTCCTGTTGATTAATGGTGTCGTCTCATGAAGCGTAAGTCTATCGGTAAGACGCGCGCTTGCTACCCCGAAAGTCTTGAGTTCGGAACCCGGTCTCAAGCCCTTGGGTCGTCTACCAGCCAAACTGCCCCCCCCCCCGGTGTCCAGACTAAGTTGGTCTGGGAGAGAAATCTCATGGGCAGCTAAAACTTGGCCAAAACCGACGTATAAGAAAATTAAAGTCTATTGGAGGAGCAGGGACGACACTTTGAATTTTGTGAACTTTGAACCTAATTTGTTATGGTATCTTCTACCTGATGTTTGCTTATATGAGCTGTTGGCTACGGGATTGGAGTGTTGAATGGGTCTCAAGTAAAGTTCAAGTTGCACTCGTCTTACATGTATTCAACGGGGCGTCTTCGTAATCCAGTCTATGGCGAGAAGGCAAAGATAACATTACAAGAAGCATCGTGTTTTATAAAGATTTTAATTTTAACACACACACACACACACATATAGCCTATATATATAGCCTATATAAATATATATATATATATATATATATATATATATATATATATATATATATATATATATATATATATATATATATATATATATATATATATATATGTATTTATGTATCTATGTTTGTATTATATATGTATGTATCTATGTACTTCTAAAAGACCTGTTAAAATAAACGTATTCAATCTCCTCTAATGTGATGTGAAAAGTTTAAATCAGAGTTTCTTTCAGGCTTTTTTGCTCCGGGAGGAGGAGGCATTTGATACTCCCGGGAAATTTAATTTTTTTCGGTGACATCTTCACTAGTAAAAATTAGTAATTAAAATTGGGCCCTATATAAAAAAATGATATATATGTTAAGCGCTTGGTTTATTTAAATGTTTTGCCGTGTTTTTTACAATTCTGGGAAACAACAATTATATATAGATCTACACGTGTTTCCATAACTTACCACCTCTCCCCCTTTGCTCGTGAGCACTACATATCTGACAACGCGAGCACATTCTACATGCGCCCCTATTTAAACTTTTAATTTTAACGCGGTTATTTTGAGTTTTTTTCACTTGAAAAAAGGACATATTATCATGTCTTAGGGGTCGTCCATAAATGACGTTACACTCGTAGATGGGAGGGGGTTCCGTAATTTTTTTGACGGTGTGTGATGAGGGGGAGGGGTGGGCAGATGGTGGGACGTCACATTTTTGCATAAACAAAAAGTAATGTTAGAAAAAGAATTTTAGCCGTTATTTCGCGTTTTAGAAAACAGTTTTAATAAATTGTAATAGGAATTGATTAAAATACTCTATGTTGAGAGAGTTCAGACAAGATTTTGGAAAGATATTGATGTTTTAAGAACAATTGAACTGCAATTTAGAGGGGGGGGGGGTTGTAAGCTTAGGTGTGACGTTATTTTAGGGAGGGGGAGTCTGGCTTTTTGTGACGATGTGCGACGGAGGGGAGAGGGAGGTAAAAATCGTCAAGAAAAACCGTGACGTCATTTATCGATGACCCCTTAGGGTTTGACACAAAATGATGTAGGCCATTGTAGGCCTACTATGATTTTGTTTCACGATCTATCAGGGCCTAGGTCTAAATCTAATTGTTTTTAACTTATATTTCCATAAACTTGAAATACGGTTAATTGTTTTAGAAAATTGTTGCGGTCAATTCCCCCCCCCCCCCCCCAACACACTCTCCCGTTTGTAAACATTTGCCGCTTTTATCATAGGCGAGTGGTATACAGTTACATCTCTGGTACATTTATTTATGCGTTGAGCTGATGTTTTTTCATCAAGAAAACCCCCCCACACTGTTTCTTCCAGACTTTTTTCTCCGGGGGGGGGGGGGGGGGGCAATTGAAATTTTCGGGGGAAGGGGGTAGACTTTCTTCGGGGGGGGGGGGGGGCAGACTGTTAAAAGTATATATTTTCTATATAAATTATATAAAATTCATTTCGTTCGGGGGGGGGGGCGGTAACAATTTTTCGGGGGGGGGGGGGGCTTTGCCCCCCCCCCCCCCCCCCCCGAAGAGATGCCTGGAAGAAACTCTGCCCGCCCCCCCCCCCCCCCCCCATCATCCGCAAAAGTCAATATTTTTGGACGTCACAAATGGATGACCCCAAAGAAATAGGTAAGATGTGTTTTGACTGCCAGTCATGGGTCCATTAATCATACAGGGAGTAAGAAAAGCTGTTCTCGTGATGTTGGCTTTGTTAATAACGGACTTACAAAACATATGTATACTATTAACTTTACTAATTTTTTTTTTAAAATAAGGATCATATTCGAAGTTATGATATAACCGTTATAAAAATGAGTTTAAAACAAATACACAACAAATTAATATTAATGTTTTATTTTTTAAGCTAAGAAAACAAGGGTTATAAAAGTAAGATCGATTCACGTTTGACATTGTAACAAGGACATAATAAACAGTATATGTATACTATTAACTTTACTAATTTTTTTTTTTAAAATAAGGATCATATTCGAAGTTATGATATAACCGTTATAAAAATGAGTTTAAAACAAATACACAACAAATTAATATTAATGTTTTATTTTTTAAGCTAAGAAAACAAGGGTTATAAAAGTAAGATCGATTCACGTTTGACATTGTAACAAGGACATAATAAACAGTCGCTTAGTCATGTGACTGTATGTCAAATGTGATGATGTTGGCATTAGTTATAGCAGGCATAAATGAACGAATCAATATCTAAAGATGGCAGCACACTTTTTACTGCTAGATATGTGCCTCTTTGGATTTGCTTCTAAAATCAACGTATAATGAGATTTCAATACATAAAAAAACATACTACTCACATTTTATTTTTAAAATTCCATTTTTGTCATATTTACTAAAAAATGAAATTCATTAAATGTATAATAGAAACACTGTAAAATAAATCTCTCTCCATAATTAAAATTACAATGACTCAAACAGCAATTGGTTATCTGGCAAATTGTGCATAACGTCAGGCAGGAGACAGTACCAGCTCAACGAAGGAATTTACGAATAATCGCTTGGTCTTTCATTCATATTTCAAGGTAAGCAATTGTAGTTGAAGTGTACACAACGAATTCGTGTTTGCTATTTATATTCTATTTTAATTAATTTAAAACTCTGTTGCTGTCAAGCATAATAACTAAATTAATACTTGTACAGACTTGCATTGAGACTGACCTAAATTCGAAAACAACCAGAATATTAAAAAATCACCACAATAGGCCCTTACTTAACTGTTAACATCATAAAATTGTAGATCTAGAATCTAGATCTAGAAAATCTAGATCTAGTAGGCCTATTGTGATTTTTTTTTTCATACTAGTGTCTAGATTTATATTTTACTACCTCTAGATCTAGTCTAGTAGTAGTCAATTGTTGACTTTTTAATTTGATTTTTCCTTTTTTTAGCGCAATTTCCATTCTGGAGAATTGCGTTTATTAACGCGTCATTTCTGGATGGATGGATGAATGTATGGATGAATGTGTGTCCGGGCTTTAAGTCGTATCTCCTCCTCAACGAAGCAATATCGATGACTAGTTCCAAAAGCAATTATGTTAAGCAAGTTACAAGAATGAGCATAGGCCATAAAAATTCCGGGTTTCTTTCATGTATTTCCCGGAAAAGCCAAAAAACCTCGAAAAAAAGCAGTTTTTGGCCCATATCTCGTCAACCAGACCACTTAGCGACTTGAAACATGTACCAATCGATTCCTGCCATAATTTAGAGCAATATTGCCGAAGAAAGTTTTCAAAAATATCCTTTCGTTCGGTCACAAAAAATTGTTTTTAATTAATTAAAATTTGGACCGAATTAGTAGGCATTTTTTCCAACCACACCACACGCGTCATCACGTTCAATAGCTGCACCATCGCGTTCTATGGCTTCGTCATCACGTTCAGTAGCTAGGCGCGCAATGGTTTTTAGTCATGTAACTCTATTGTAAATAAAACATGTAAAATACTGACATTTTTTTTAATAAAAAACGTTTTAATAACTAACCAATGGTTTTACTAACCCTGCTCTTGATTTACGCTACGACAGAGCTATTTTTAGATAACATAAGGAAATTGCGCATAAATGTCACTAGACTTTTTTAATTAACTTGTTTTAGTCATTGATGGTAGGCTACACACTACTACTACACAGTTCACAGTTCAGTACATTATTACTTATTACTGTAATAATTATTACTATTACAAGAAGTAAGCCTACAGTACAGTTGAATACAGTGTACAGTACACGTAAGACTACATACAAACTCAGATAGTAAATTCTGCATAATTAATCCTAAAATTCATTACAACACTTCAGTCACTACAGGGAGACAGCAGCCTACTATTAGTTTTACACTGTAAAATAATTCAAAATGTAGTATTAGACTAGACTAATTAATTGACCCAAGGGAGAATAGTCTCAAATATGGCCAATTCTAGCCTGAAAACGATATGCATGGGGAAATGGAGAGAAACTACTGCCTTCATTCGTGGCGTTGTTTTCTATAGTACTGCGCATGCATGTGTTTACAAACTAGCAGCAGAACCCCTAACCATAGCACAACTATTAAGGTCATTTTGCATGCACAGAACTATTGAGTTTCATATTTTCTGGCGAAACATCTTTTTTCAAGTAGTTACTTCAGTTAAATATTAGGCACGGTGTAGCCTAATTAAAATTAATATGGTTATGAAATCCTGACTTTAAAATAAGAGTGGATGTAGGATTTGACATTTTATTAATTTTGGTTGACCTAATTAAACACAATTTAAAAAAAGGCAAAAGCAACATGGTAATAGTAATGCCGACATAAACAATGACACTCTATAGGCTAGTATAAATTTTACAAAGTGACTGCTCAGAAAAAGATGTTTCGGCAGAAAAAATGAAGCTCAATAGTAATTGTTCTGCGCATGTGCAGTGACCTAGCTGAGCTTTGGTTAGGGTCCTACGGTTTGTTTGTAAACACACGCATGCGCAGTAACATCGTCGCGAATGAAGGCAGTAGTTTCTCTCCTAAATTTTATTAGGCCATAACAAAATGTCCACCAAATTGTCAGAATTGGGTCATTTGGTTTAATATAGCATAAGGCCTATGTTATTTAAAAACTTGATTCTAAATATATAAAATTTCCTAATTATTTTCAGACTTTTAGCTCATATTTTTTATTATTTTTATGCTTGCTTTGATTGTACATGTAAAATCCATGTCGACAATATGATGGAAGGATTCTCGTTAACTCAGTGTCCATTAGTATCCAGTTAGTATTTTAAAGTTTCCAGTGCTTATTCTAAATATTTCATAACTCTAACTAAAGTCTGATAATGATCAACCATTTGAAATTGAGTCCCTGGCGTGGCTTTGAAGACCATTGGCTTGTTACATTGTTAAATAATATTAAACAATCTCAATAGGTCAGGCCACATATACATGAAGTTACCCTAAATTTTATAGATCAACTCATAGGGCATACAATAATTTTCTGTTCAAATAGCTCCAAGGTCATTAATAATAAAAAGCTTCCAAAAACACAGCTCTGTGTTTTAATTTATTTAAATACCCACAATGTCTGGTTAAGTAGATTATAGAAAGTGAAAATACAAAATACTATAGTAGCAGTAAAAAAGAAATATTTTTTTTCTCTGCCCTAATTTCATGTGGCTATTTTATTCAATGCTAAGGCCCATTTTCACCCCTAGGGTTCAGATTTAAAGTATCCTTAACTACACATAAGACTAAACCAAAAGGTACACTTGCAACATACAAATTTTACTTTCACAGATGCCTATGATTAAACTACAGAGTTCAGATGGAGAGGTGTTTGAAGTTGATGTTGAGATTGCTAAACAATCTGTCACTATTAAAACCATGTTAGAAGGTATTGTACATAGTTTATGATTTGACAGGCTTTAAAACTCAATATTTCTCATTATTAAGACCTTTGTAAACAATTTGAATTTTTTTAATGCATATTATTTAAAATTTATAAATAACAGATTTGGGTATGGATGAGGATGAAGATGAACCTGTCCCACTACCTAATGTTAATGCTGCTATATTAAAGAAGGTAATTCAATGGTGTACCTTCCATCGGGATGACCCTCCACCACCTGAAGATGATGAAAACAAAGAAAAAAGAACAGATGATATCTGCTCCTGGGATGCAGAATTTCTTAAAGTTGACCAGGGCACCTTGTTTGAGTTGATTTTGGTAAGTTACTTATAGTACTAGGAACTTCTCTTGATGGCTGTAAAATCTCTTATGTTTGTGAAGTGTATGTGTTTTTTCATAAAATAATGTTAACATGTTGATTAAATAAGCTTGAATTTATGTAATGCATACACTTAGTTGCATGTTATTAGATTTTCTTTTAATGTATGGTATGGTATCATACAGTAAATCTAATTTACATTTAGTTTTTTTACTATTATTTAATAAATCATTGAACTCCATAATTTACCCATGTTGTCATTACAGTTTTTTTTTTGTTTTTTTTTTTGTTTCTAGGCTGCCAACTACTTAGATATCAAAGGCTTGCTTGATGTAACTTGCAAAACTGTAGCAAATATGATCAAAGGGAAGTCCCCAGAGGAAATCAGGAAAACTTTTAACATTAAAAATGATTTCACACCAGCAGAGGAAGAACAAGTAAGTTAAATGAGTAATTTCTTTAGAACTTTTTATTTTCTCATTTTATCTGTGACATTACATGAGTTCAGTTCTTTGGACCTAGCGATCCATTGGGCAAATTAAGCAGAATTCATGTTTCTTGACCTCAGCATATGCATGGATAGTGTGGTCAGCACTTTGCCTATCTGCCTTTACTTTCCCCAATGTAAGTCATGTACCACTCAGAGCTGGGTGGGCTCAGGGACATCCTTCAGTCACAAGTTTGAACTGAGATCTGAATTTGAGTACCCTTTGGGTTAGCAGCTAAAAGCTTAACAATTAGACCACGTCTTCCAAATTTTATTCTTTAAAGTACCAGTTTCTTTAAAGTTAAACTGCATGATTTTGTGGTCAGCACCATTCCAAGTCACCTGTACTTTTACAGGCTTGGTCCAGGTAAACAGTAGGTTAACTCGCAGATGTCCAATAGCTCAGTTGAATAGTGTACCCTTTCTCTCAACCGTGCTGTTATATGTTGAAGTGTCTGAATTATGTGTTCACTTATGTTTGTTAATGTTTCAATACCAGTACAACTTTATGTCATATGAGTAAAATATGTACATATTTTTTATAGGTAAGAAAGGAAAATGAGTGGTGTGAAGAAAAGTAGATCAGAATACTCCGGCCAGAGCATCACAGTACCCAATAATACCTTTTTTAAATTAAGTTTTATTATAATGTGATAACACTCAGACTTAATCTTGTTGTTTACCTTGTATATAAGTGAGGTGTGTGAGTTGACTTGGACCGTGAGCTTTGTAATTTATTTGTTGGTTTTTTTAAAATTAGGTATGCAACAATTTTAGGAGAGAAAGGCATTATTAAACACTTAAATTATTTTGAGAAAGCTTCTAACATTAAAGTTTCTGTTGAGTTTTCCATCCTTGATGAGTTTATTGCAATGTTGATTTAGATTTCTTTTACGCATTTTTAGTTTTCACCTACTAAACCAATGACCAATATTGCTTTAGTTGAATAAAATTGAAATAAAAATTTTGAAAAATCAGGTTTTGCTTGGTTTTACCTTTATGAATCCTTTAAAAAAAGTTTTTTTAAGCTCTTAATGGTTTCTTAAATGCTTGTTTTACCCGTTAACTAAAATTTGGAAAAATGTTTGTATTACTATATAACTACCAGAAAGTATAGTTATTGGTTATGAGATCTGCATTATTTAAGAGATTGATCTTTACAGTTTGTTAATCATTTTAAATATTTTGTCTGTTGTGTCTAGCCTTAACATTTTTGTTATCACCCTTCACAAACTAAATGTAAATAAACAAAATGAAATCTAAAATGTATCATACATTTTTTTCCTTCATTAACTAAGTAGACTATTAGACATGGTTTCTTTTTCAATTACTTTTGACATATTTCTTTCAGAATTTCATAGAGAATTAAAAAATAATTGTGCAGAACTTTCTTCTATTGATTTAAAAAAAACTGCATGGATTTTTATTTTATGATAAAATTTTTTGGCTTCTTTGTAGCACCATTTTTTTCTTACCTTGAGTAAAAGCAGTTTGTTATAAATCTCACCATTCATACACAAGTATTTTTGTAACCAAGAGATGCATTTTCTATCTTCAAAAAATATCACAAGGCTTTTTAAATGTTGCAATCATTTTCCATTGTGTCCACTCCACTGAAGGGTTAGAAAATTCAGTTTTCCTCCTTCATCTGATGATTTTATGGTGCTTGTGTGAGATATAGAGTACATCAACAATGTTTTATTTGTTTGTAACAATAAAAATAACTTTCCTTTATCTTATGTTTCAGTGCAGGTTTGATTTATTAGTGCATGTTAGCTATCTGCTGAAGTATTCTACTATTTTCTTTAGTGTTTCTGTTACTGTCATAGTATAAAGCTCCCAAATCAAGAAAAAAAAATGCAGGAAAGTCACCTGATTTACAGAATTAATTATCAAATACAATGGAAAAAAAAATTGTCAAGATAAAAAATAGATTTATTGGTAAAACGAATCTGAAATAATTATTCATTTGATCCAAGTATGTCGTACATTATTTGTTACTTAGTTTCACAGCAGTAGTAAAAAAAACAACTATTAAGTAAATTTAATTAAACTATAAATGAGGCCCACACAAAAAAATGTATGTTTTTTTTACATGCACAGACTGCAATTTTGTTAAAACTCCCTTATTTTATTACTTAATGAAAATTGTTGCCTAAATCATTTTTTAACCACATTAAATTGATATATATATATATAGATCACATACTTCACATTCCAATACAAAAAAATACATGTGAAATGCCTAGTAATAAGACTTAAGAGCCATTTAATTGTTGAGATGATTGATCAAATTAGAAAAATATATATTGAAATGCTTGATTAGTAGGTTAAAAACAACCTGCTCCTTGTACAAGTAAAAAACATTTACTCAGTGGCAGAGTATGATACATTTGTTTTATTTTACCTCCATATATTAATGGATTGTGTGGTTAGCAATTAAAGTTCATCGTACTTGAAGCAGCTACCACAGCTGAACCCAGAAACTGGGTTCTACTAGACTTAGGTGTGCACTAGGTAAGTATAAAATCACAAATATCAATATGCTGCCAATATATTTGGTGCACATTTATATATACACAGTGGAAGATTTTGTTTTCTCTAAAGCTTTGGGAGACTAAATAACTCAACTGGTGAATTTTTTTTTTGCAATCAACTAACCTAGTTTTTTGCTAATGCTAATTACACAGACCCAAGTACCAAAATATTCTAAAAAATTGATCAATTTATGATACAATTTGCACTGCTAAAGGTTTCATACATTTCTTTTAGAAAAAACTATGGCCAACTAAACTAACTACAGTTGAATAAATTTAATAAAATTTTAAATGCGATTAGTCTTTAAACTTTGTAGATAAACAATGTTCAGGGACTTTTTAACAAGGTGGCATTTAAATCAGTGTACAAAAATTTTCTGTTCTGACCCAATTATTTTAAATCTTGAACTCTTAATAATACTCTGTCAAGAAGATTAACAGTCAAGGGCTTAAATTAATCATGTATGACATCATAATGAGATTCTTATTATGCAAGAAAGACATGTCCCTCAACTGGGTATAAAATGTTTAAATTAAGTTACAAATATAACAATTTTAATTTGCATATATTACATTTCAAAAGCAAGGAAAAAGTAAAGTTTAAAAATAAAATATTACAGAATTGTCTTTTGCTTTGCAACAGCAATTTTATTTCACTTGCATAGTTTCCACTTTATAGCGTCTACAAAATTAAATAAACAATTGGTTATTTTCTATTGTATATAGTTTTTACTAGTGGCGATCCACGAATATGTAGCCATGGGAAAAAAAATACATATAGGAGAAAAATAAATAAAATCATGTGGGCACCCATAGGTATATAGGCCAATTTTAAACATATTTACATTCATAAATATATCTCTAAGCACTCTACCCCTTAGAAAAATAATTCTTTTCTCTATTTTTTGCCCCTTTCCCAACCAAAGTGAAAAATGTATGCAGCTGTCCCAAGATTGTAATGATTCTAGATGCCATATTGAAAGCTGCTAACATTTTTTTACATAAAGTTACAGGCATTTTAGTAGTGAAAAAATGTTCAATGGTGCCCATCATCAACAGCACAACTTATCAGCACATGTAATATCAGTGACATTATAAATTTTGTAAAACATTTTGATCTGTCAGTATAAATGCTTTAAACTTTAATGGGCTTATCAATTAGGATGTGATTAAACATAATTGGTGATGAAATACAAATGGAATATTTTTTAAATTCAACACAACCCAATTAATATTTACAGTTACAGCAACATTTTAAAAGTATATTAATATTTGTAAATCTATATAATAACGGTATGTATAGATAAAGTTTATATATTATTAGAGATTACATTAACAAACAAATAAAGAGTATGGAGTTGATTTTATAAACATTAACAAAAGTAAATAAATGTTTGTAACATTAAAAATATAAACAAAGTTATAATTGAAAATAAAGTATAGTATCAAGTGTGAGACAAAACTTATTCCAATTGTAATTAATGTTTTTTTCAATATTGAGTTTTATTGGGCACAATTTTTTACTAGTCTGCAACAAGTGGTAGAACCTCAATTTTAAATGCAGTTATCATGTGTCTGTCACTGTGATGTGCACAAAAATTAATGCTTGACTGCACTTAACACCATTACTGTCATAAATTGGAAAATGACGAAAACCTGAAAACAAAAATTAATAATTTAAATGCAAATATTATTTTAATAAAAATGAGCTTTAATTATAGGCTATAGATCAATCCTCAATCCCAAAAAAAAAAAAAATTTGAACTAAATTTTCATTTCACTATTTTCACTATACCTTGAGCAGTTTTCTCTATGTAAAGTTTAATATATTAAAAGAAATAAATTGCAAAGCTTATATAAAAGTAATTAACTATGAGAAGAAATTGTGTTTAGTTGAAAACAAATCTTTAAGTGGATGCCGTAAAATCGTACAAGTGTGTTTTATTCCCATAACCACTGACTATATATATACGTTGTTATTCCAGTTAAGTGCTATTTTTACTCAACAATGTAAGGATAATTTAATACAGTGAAGTGTCTGACCTTCTTGAATGCAGCGTACTGGCAGGCAGTAGTAACCGATAAAATCATCTTTCCCCATATCTTCATCTAACACTGTAAACTTTAAGAGTGCCACCTCTGGACGTCTCAACAGAAAATCAAATGTTTCATACCATCTGGGATTGAAACCTGTTGAGAAAAATACAATCAATAGCTCATATATAATTAGTCATCCACAAAGGATTTAATTTAGTTTTATGCAAATTATCTCCCATTGTTATACATCATCAGGGGACGACGTGGTCAGACAGTAGTGCACACGACTGCTAACCTGAAAGCTATGAGTTCAGATTGTGGACTTGAGTCCGTAGGACTTTGATAGCTTTGATAGGCACCAGACTTAAATTAGGGGAAACTAAGGTAACTGGATGGATCGGACACACGTTAAGAAAAGAAAAAGAAAACATCGCAAAACATGCATTGGACTGGAATCCCCAGGGGAAAAGGAGGGTGGGCCGGCCAAAGAAAACATGGAAGAGAACGGTTGAGGAAGAGGCAAAAACAGCTGGGCTCTCATGGGCACAGATTAGAGGAGCAGCCCAAAACCGAGTCCGCTGAAGATGTGTGGTTGCAGCCCTTTGCTCCCCAGGGGCCATAAAAGAGTGATGATGATGAAGGTAACTGGGCATAGTTCTGACTACACTATCCCTATAAATGTACAGGTCATTGACACAGATGAACTCTACTTCTTCAGCCCCTTGTGTCTATGGAAAATGATATACACCATCAAAAAATGCCAGATTTACTCATATCTCTGAATTACATCTCCACAAAAATAATCACTATACTAATGAAATAATTGTTTACCACTTGAAATTTAAGAATTACAGAATTCACCATCATTTTATATATTAAGCTCCCTTTGGTCAAGAAAGCTAATCAACACAAGTCTGAAATCGTCTCTCCCTGAGTAATGTCATTTATGGCTCAACCCTCATTTACACATGAATTTATTTAAGCATGATGAATTTCTCATGTTACAAAATTAACAGTGAAATGAAGTCTTAAGTATAATTATTGTTCTAAACTTGTACGAATTTAAAAACCATTAATTTGTGTTTTTAATGAACATTCTGCGGGTAATCCCTAAACGTTTTGGATGAATTCCCCATGTTACGATGTCAGACATTTTAAAACAGATATGAGTTCCAAATATTCGGGTATTCCTTACCAAATATTCTATAAACCATAATTATAAACATGTAAGAGTTAAAAATGAAATATTTAGAAAATTCTTACCATTATTTAAAATAGCTCTAGTTTTTGACTGTGCTAGATCATATGGTACTCCCAAAATGTCAACTTTAATAAATGGATCAATAATTTCACCTCTAAGACTGTCATTTGGTTTTGGTAGCTGAAAACCACTTATCACCTATTAAACATTTAAAAAAAAAAGATTCTTTTAATTTACATAGGATTAAATATATAACATATATACATAGATCTATAAAAATACATATATATATATATTGTTGGAACTACCATCCTTTTGAATAAACCCTGCCTATGACACTGCATATATAGATCAATGGCTTAGACTTCTTGCTATTGGGGACAATAGGTTATGATTACATTGTCGTGTATGAAACAAAGGTACAGGGATCGAATAGTTAAAAGCAGATGAACACTTTTATCACTGAACTATTGATAAGGATGTACCACAGCTAACGTGGCAAAAAACATTAAGCACTGTTTTAATGTCTTAATGCCATAAATTGTGCTTATACTTATATAGAGATGTAGGGCTTATTCATTGAAAAAAAAGTGTACATATTTGCTATATTTGAATCAATGTTTACAAATTTATTTTTTATTTGCCTTAGTAATCATTTTTTTTTTAAATCTGAAAGAGACTTTAACCTGAAACAAGTTAAAAAATTAATGACAGCTGCATGGTAATTGGAAATACAAACACAGGCCCTGCACAATTACTGAAAGAAACAGACAGACTCCACTTCCTCTGCTTTACTCTGAACATCAGAGGGTACTTCCATTTGTTTTTCAAAATTACAAAACAAAGTATAGGGTACACCATACAGTGACTATTTTAATTTTGAAAGACAAATTTCAAAAGTAATGAAATTAATACTTACTGTGATAGTTAATTTTCTTATAATAGTTTCACTCTGAATAGCTTTTAAGAACTTAGCTTCTGTAATACAATACAAAAAATTATACTTTTAACAACATAAATAAACACAGTAAAAAAATGTTAAATATCAAGAAATCTGAAATAATGACACTAAAATTATTTTGTGTAGTATGTGCTTATCAAATAAACAATTAAACAAAATAATATGCTTTGTAAATGAACATTAATGGGGGAAAATGTTAAATTAATTTAAAATCCAATTTCAATAATTATCAAGCATGACAGACTGGTTTATCTTGCTTCATTATTTTTCAAATTGGAAAAGAATTTTGATTGGTTTATCGTATAAAACAGATCAAAGGACTAATGATATCCCCAGAGAGTTTGCTATTTTAAAAAGGAAAAGAGAACTTTAAAAAATTCAAGTAAAATTGAATTTATTGAGTAAAACCTTTTTTTTTAAATCCACACATCCAAGGGGACGCTACTGCAATAATGATACGGTAACTGACTAGCATAGTTAGTTCCCCTGTATCCTTGATACTGTTATTTCAAATAATTTTATTATTAAAATTTGCAGTAATGAAGTCCCTGAAAATTAAATTTTCTCACCTGATAACATAAAATCTGGCTTGAGGACATATCCTGATCCACCGTTATCCAGGAAAAGGCCATGATTATAGAACATCGGATCACTACCAGTCTGATAATTCAAAGCAACTGAAAAATATATTTTAACAAATCTAAAAAAAATCCTCAATCCTTTTTGTTATTGTTGTATTAATTATCTACAGAAAACCAGGGATATTATATTTAAAAATAATTGTAAGCATATTCAAACCACATTTTCATAATGAGTCAGAAAGAATTAGGGCAAGAAAAGGGCTAGGATTAGGTTTCTCTATTGTGGCAAACACTTCACTACTCTGGGCAAACAATAACGCCCTCATCATCCCCATAAAAATGTCTACAAAAATATTACATCTAACAAACGAGCTTATCAAAGTAGTTAATTTCTGTCTGTAGTTAATTTCTGTCTACGCAAATCAAAATAAAATTTTCCTGTTATAATTTTTAAAATATGTTTAACATTAACAATCTTTATTTTAACAAAAAGTAAAACAAAATTGTAGTGATGATTTTATTGCTTTTTAAGATCAGTAAAATAATTGCTGAAACCAATAATTGGTAATTTTTAGATTTATATTACCTGCATCTGCAATACAGTCAAAGACAACCATGTATATTAAGTAGCAAATTATGGCTTTTTTTTTATACCAATGGGTAAAATTACACCTGTTTGTGATTACATAAGAATTGAATTTATAAACTAAAACTAAAAAAAAGGTGAAATATTTACCAAGCTGAACACCATGTATCCATATTGGGATTGGGTTGTAGTTACTGGAATCTGTCCGGGAACCTGCCGGATAAGCCCGGATCATACAGTTCCGGCAAAGCTTGTTGAGGCTCTGTGGATTTGTTTGGATCATTTTAGCTAACCTGCTTTCACTTAAGGATAAAACATTGAAAGACGGATCTGAAAAAATAAAATGTTTTAGAAGTCAGACACTGTTAAAAATGTGAATTGTAAATTGTTTAGATTTGTTAGAGGAAATATGATATGAATCAATTACAAGATAAACGGGCGAACTTACATGGCTAATATAAATTGTTTTTAAAAATTCATATTTTTTATAATCTAAATTATATTTTATGATCTTTTAAAGATTATTGGCACCTATGAATACCTAAAACTGAAACTGTGGTACTTCGTGGCCTAGTGGTAAAACTTTTATAGGTACCCAACTCACATTAGGGAAAGTAAAGGCGGTGACCACATAATCCATTCATATACAGGTTTAAGAAACATATGAACTCTTCTTCACCTGTTTAATAAATCTTCAGTTTTTTTTTAAAACTGACTAACAGTCTAATATCTAATGTTAGGTTGTCAATAACTGATGTCTATAGCCTACAATGTGTTTGATTTAACACACACACACACACACACACACAAACAAGACATGTTATAATGTAAAAATTTATTTACAGCAAAAATAGAAATTATTTGATATGATTATTTGATATGATGATTTGATATGAAATGAAAAATGCAAAATTAACCTGTTGATGATTCTGCCCTTTCAAAGCTGATACTTTTCATGGTGGTGACCTCGCTAAGGGCTGGGTGAAGTTTGATTTTGTGGTGCGTTGCTGGTTTGCTCTGTTTGGTGACTTGCATAGCCTCTTTCGGCAACTCTGCCGCCTCATCTTCATCACTAACTTCATCACTACCAGATGTGGATTGGGGCAATCTCTTGCCCTTAAAAGATTAAAACATTTATAATTGAATTTTAATATTTCATTTTTTTTTAAATTTTGAAATAAGGAATCACAGTTTTTATATCCGTAGTAAAATGTATACGAAATTGATTAGAACATTGTGCTATTTTGTTTCCTAACTGTGCAATGGTTTTGTTAGGTTACTATTTTTAGGATTTATTGTGGTAAATTATGAGATGATATTTTACTTTTTTTAATGAGTTGTTTTTTGTTTTATGAAATTTAATAAATTATTCTAGTAAACTTTTTATTTTTTTTTATCTACATAATATTTATTTAATAACCCTTTAGAAGGGCTCAAATATTTTTAAATGGTAGTGGCTGGCTTATAGCCAGTCCCATTTAAAATGGTATTTTAAGGTAGTAATGAGTGTAAGTACATTTTCAAACTATCTCACATTTTTGCATTTATTTTTATACAGTTTCAAAGATCTTCAATAAAAAATATAAATAAATATACCTAAACATTTTAAGATCAGTTTTAATGTTAATATTTTAAAACTAAAAGTAATAATAAGTAATAAAATGAGGGAATATTTTTCAATTTTTTTAAAATCGATTTATTAGGTAGTATAAAAAATTTAGTTTTCATTGAAAGTTATTTCCCTTTGACTTAAAAGTCGGTAATGTTTACTTCCCTGGATTGAAGATTTAGATGAAATTTCCTATTTTCTCAGAAAATAGGAGATATGCATAATGAAACATTAGTTAACTAAGACATAAATCTATAAAGCATAGTATATTTAGATTTATGTCACAAGACTATTAACTAAATTGCAGTACAAAAAAATTAATTAGACTAATCAATAATACAGAAAACAAGAACTATAAAATGTAGTCGGTTTTTACAAGCTTTTATTTAACTCACTTCCTCGTCAGTCGTCAGTCTGTCTAGACGGAAACGCAGGAGTGAAAATTCGGACAGTTCTACTTGACCGACACGATTCACAGTTGGGTCAAGACATGAAGACAATGCAATCTGAATCTAAATTCGACTTAATTGGATGCCTAATTAATTTTTTATGAATTAATTAAAATTTGGACCGAATTAGTAGGCATGTCTAGCCAACCACACCACACGCGTCATCACCTTCAATAGCTTCAATGGCTGCGTTCAAAAACCATTGCGCGCCTACTGAACGTGATGTTCAGTAGGCGCGCAATGGTTTTTAGTCATGTAACTCTATTGTAAATAAAACATGTAAAGTACTGAAAAAAAAAATTCATAAAAAACGTTTTAATAACAAGCTTTTATGTAATGATGCACTAAAAAGTAGAAAATAAATTATAGACTACTATTTAAATAACTATAAAGAAAAGCGTGGGTGTCTTCCTTAACATTAGTAAAGGTATCCAATAGATACTAAAGTGACCCACGCTTTTCTTTATAGTTATTTAAATAGTAGTCTATAATTTATTTTCTACTTTTTAGTGCATCATTACATAAAAGCTTGTTATTAAAACGTTTTTTATGAATTTTTTTTAACATAATCCTTTTTGTGTTTAAATTTTATCACTCAACATTTCAAGCTTTTTCAGTGATTTCTTTCCAATTTGAAAAACAATGTTTCTGCAACACCTTTATTTTAAATTTTTAATTTAATCTAACTGAATTACAAATCTCTTCGATACATTTTTGTCTTTATGATCAAAGCTTTCACAAATTTAGATCTTTAAGGCTTTAGATTAGTTAATTTTTATCCGCTGTAAAGGGTAAGTGGAGGTAAAGACTACTCCACACATTTCAACAAAGAGATAAGTATCATACACATTGTTTTATCCGCAGACTTTTTAAAATGTCTTCTCTGAAACCAACAAGTGGTACACCAACCTTACCTTTACAATTATTTTGTTGCGCAGTTGTTCAGGTGAAGGGGTCTTTATCACATCTGTCTGAGGGCACCACAATTTATCTTTTTACAGTTAAGTCAAACTCTAGTAAGACAGTTACAGTAACAGCTTGCCTTATATCCCAGCTTTATGCTTAATACATAAATCGGAGTAGAAATTTTAAAATTTCCTGTTTTGAAAAGGCATGGTGAAGAATGAAATTATAGTGCTGTATGCAGCATGGATATTGATAGAACTTCCTTGGTTATGACCATCTTTAAAATTGTATTTGTAGTACTAATTGCCAAAATGAAAAAAAATTTTGAAAGTGAATTAGCGGACCACATGTCGTTATTCTATTTTAAAGTTGTTCTATAAAAATATTTTTTTAGTTCTGGCAGGTAATGTTATTATTATGTTATTATATATAGTAAAGTTCCCTTTCAAACCTGATGGTCTATAGGGCAAGTGAAGTAGAGTTCACTTGTTTCTGTGACCTCGGCATATGAAGAGATAGTGTGGTCAGCACTATGCCCAGCCACCTTTACTTTCCCTAACATAAGTTAGGTACCCACCTACTGACTTTAACCTGGTTTCAAACTCTTAAGGGTTAGCAGTCCAGCTCTCTACCGCTAGACCACTCCGTTCCATGTTATTATATACATATATATATACATATATATATAAAGGGATAGATATATATGCTTTTAGAAGGATACTTCCAAATACAGAAGACATGATGTCAGCCATTGCTTGCTGCTGCTCTAAACCACAGTGGTTCTCTATAGATAATGTTACAGGGAACCTAAAAATAGAAAAGTTGGTTCTTATAATAAAAAAACCTAAAAACCAGACATTGAAAAAAGCGTGCATGAAAAATAGAAACCTTTTCTGTAAATTTCGTAATATATTAATGTAGCCACAGGAAATAGTTAAATGCATAGTCATTGATAGCTTTGACGCAAACCTAAAAACCAGATACTGAAAAAAATGTGCATTTAAAACAGATAGCTTTTCTGTAAATTTCATATAATGCTAACACCTAATGTACTCACGGCGAAGATTTAAATGCATAGTCGTTGATGGCCCTGATAACACTACGGAAGGATATTTTAGAGGTTAAGGTGTAGCCATGATAGATGATTGGTTCTTTGTTTGGGCCATCCCAACAATCCACTGAAATAAAAAAATGTATTAAAGAAATTTAATCAAATTCAAATGCTTTTAATTGTATTAAAATATTACATGACAGTATTTTATTACCAAATTTAGGGAAAAAAAAATTAAATTCAATAAATTTTGACGATGAAGGTTATTGGATCATGAAAAGTTATATTTACATTCGACACATCTGCAGCCCTTCTTTAATGCTGTTATATACATTTCTACATTACTGTTTCCAGTAAGCTGATCTGCTTCAAGGTATCTACAATACAAAGGGATTTAACTCTTATTAAAATGTTGTAAAACGCTTTATAAAGTAAAAAAAAAGACTGGACAAGACGGTTTTGGAGAGTAAAAATTATGAAATTATTTCAATTTTTTATATTGATATAAATTTTCTAAATATAAAAAACAAATTATTCTGACTCACGTGTTATGAGAGGAGGCAATAAGGTAATCTGTCATAGGTCGATTCATGTCCTGATAAACAACCCTGTGGGCGGGGTTAAAGAGTTCCTGGCGCTCAGAGGTCAAAAATTTTCTGAAAGCTGAAATTTAAACTTGAATTAGTACTGTTGTTTGACTGCATGCAAGACTATTTGATGTAACCCATACCATTCACTACATTGATTTGGAGGTCAAATATGTTAATTATATTATTTTTACAAAAACTAGCTTTAAAGCTATGGGATGGCATGGTCGGATGGTAGAGCATATGACTGCTAACCCGAAAGTCATGTTCAATTCTGAGAACGTTTCAGTCGAACGTCCCTGAATCCACCCAGCTCTGACCACACTATCCCTTCATATACCAAGATTCCTGAAACAGGTAAAGCTTACTTCACCTGCCCCATGACCATCAGGCTCAAAAAGGTACTCTACTACTTTAAAGCACTAAAGTAGTAAAGAATATATACATAAACTTTTGTTAGTTAATTTCAAAATGTATTGAACAGATTAAACTTGGCACATGGTTGTGTTGTGGAGCTCAGTTGGGTATCTGGGGTAGTTCTGAGTGTACTTATGTTGAATTTTTGCCAAAAATAGGCACCACTTCTGACAATGGTATCAGTCTCCCCCTGCTCTAACTTATCTTACACCATTTACATTTGCGGGATGTATACTATACATGTCTAGAAAAAAATACTAGCAACAATTAAATGTATGAAAACATTTTTCCTATGGGACATGTATTGCTGTTTGCGTTTTTTTTTTCTTGAAATGTATATTATAAATGTTGTAAGTGTAAACGAGCCGTAAGCCTTTAATATAATATCTAGCATTTCCCAAGTATTCTTAGCCATCTATAACGCCTTGAGTCCATGAATCTAAGGTTAGCGGCAGTGTCCTTTACCACTAAATCACTACCAATTAGTGTCGCTTTCAGATATTTTTTTCTGGTGGAAGGTAGGTGCTTGAGAGGTGGTGAACACTGGTTAAAGTATTTGTAGGCCCTATATATTTTCTTAATCACAATTTAAGCTATTCATCTTTTCTGTTTTGTCTAAGGTGTGTGTGTGTGGGGGGGGGGATGCCTTGGATGTGCTCAAGAGAAGATGCTTTTAAAGAAACAGTCTGTTTATTTTATTTTTAAGTTTTAATTAAATTAAATTTAAGTAGGCCTAAGTGCCAAGTGCCGCAAGTGGGCCTAACTTAAAAAAAACAACTTTAATTCACTTTTTTAGTAACTAACTACTAGATCTAAGTATTAACTAGTAATATATTAACTATTAAGCCTAAATAATAATTAATAAATAGGCTCTCTTTTGTAGTCTATTGATTTAAGAAACAACACTAGACTGGGTCTGTCTTGTCTAGATCTAGATAGTCTAGATCTGAATATTTTTACTTTTAAGCCTACTGTTTTAAATTTAAGCCTACAAGGTTTCCCCAGGGGAGGTCACTCATTATTCACGCCGGGAGTATTCGTTGAATTAACAAGCCAAAGGACATAATCAATTATAATAATTTATAAATTCCATTTTCCCCCCCATCAATTGTTGATCGATGCACTTATTTTATAATCCCATTTTATATATTTCTGAGGAAAAAAACTCACCTTCCAAACTCAGCTGATTTTTCTTTCTGTAATCTTTTTCCGTTTCAAATTCCTCTATAATTTTTCGACAGTGGTCTTCAGTGGCACCAACCATCTTCAGAGAAAAGGAAAAATTGTAGTTAAAATTAAAAATAACACGTATTGAATTGTCGTTCATTAACTGATGTCCAGAGAGGATTTTTGTTATATGGGTAAGGGTGGATTCATACAGTCTAACGTAGTCTTCTTCGTTCTTAAATGCCATATATATTGGAGGGAAAAGGTCTAGCTACCGAAGGCTAAATCTGGCAACCAAAGAGAAAAAAAAAAGGGGGGGGGGGGGGGGGGGGAAGTGACAATAGGGGGAAGGGGCGTTAAACATCGGCTATAATCTACAGACGTCGTTAATGGAATATTCCGAATGCCCCGAATCACATGGACCAAAAACATTTTGGTAAATGATGTACTATTTGAAAATAAAAAAATTCTATAAATGACTATGTTTTTTGACACTGTTTTCATACCTTTTGTCCACTTCTCAAAAAAGACAACAAATCTTGCAATGTCATGCAACCTTTGCCCTTTGTATATCTGAAAAATAAATTGATGAACATAACAACACTGTACCAAACGGTTGGGTGATTTTTTTTTTCCTTCATAAAACCGTCTAAAAACAGAATATACAATAACATAAATGACATTACATGGTGTTTCATATTCTCTACCCTTCCCCATGAAAAGTATATTACATATCGTCAAAAAACATAGTCAGAATGACCTTACATCTGCGGAAAGGGGGGGGGGGGAGTGCATACTGGAAAGATGCCTTAAAGAAACGCTGCTGACCCCAAATAAACCCCACACAGCCCGACTGACCCTAAATAAACCCCTCACACCCTGACTGACCCCAAATGAACCCCTCACACACAGTGGCGGAACTAGAAAAAAAGGGCCACCCCGCAAAATTTTTTTTAGGCCCCCCTATATATATATATATATATATATATATATATATATATATATATATATATATATATATATATATATATATATATGTATATATATATATATATATATATAGAGAGAGAGAGAGAGAGAGAGAGAGAGAGAGAGAGAGAGACAAACATAAAATTCGAACGTAGGATACTCATCACCGGCCTGTTCGGGCTTTGAAAAAAAATAATGTTTTTTTTTTCAATTAAAACCAATTACTACATCATGTCATGTGTGTAAGTTAGTGCATTTTTTTTTTTTTTTAAGTTAGTGCATTAGTGCGTTTTTTTTTTTAAAATCGATGTTATCACTGCTTTATCACCTTTGAAAATCTAGTCAGCCAAAAGAATATAAAACATGAAAGCTTTGTAGAAGTAATTGTGTCTCGTGTTATGAATATTTTTTTTTGTATTTATATTATTAATCTTAAATACATTTTCTTTTTATACAATGTCATTCTTTAGTAATTATTTTATTTAAAAAAATAATAATTAAGAGAAGTAATTGCTTTTTGATTTGTTTAGTACAAATCTATTAAAAGGAGCACCCATATTTGACTATTTAAAAAGGGAAATAAGTCATGGAAGTGGTTTGAACGTTTGCTTATCTTTGCTAAGTTTAATTGTAGGAGAAAGGGAACTCGGCTTTCACCGTGGTTTAAAAACAAAGGGAAAAAGAATATACAAGAGGGTGGGGTGGTGTCTATAAAATAAAGATAATCCAACCGCAGCTACGCTAATCTTTTTACAAAACAACCATCAAGTCAAATATGCAAGATAATTTTTTTTTTAAAATATAAAAAAATTAATTATGGTCGGCTGTGGGCCCCTAAATGGCGTGGGCCACCCCGCATTGCGGGGTCTGGCGGCACTGTAGTTCCGCCCCTGCTCACACCCCAATAAACCCCTCACCCCGTGACTGACCCCCAAATGAACCCCTCACACCCAGACTGACCCTAAATGAACCCCTCACAGCCAGACTGATCCCGAATAAACCTCTCACAGACTGACCCCCAAATAAACCTGTCCAGACTGACCCCAAATAAACCCCTCACAGACTGACCCCAAATAACCCTTTCATAGACTGATAAACCCCTCACAGCCAGAATGACCCCCAAATAAACCTGTCCAGAATTACCCCCAAATAAACCTGTCCAGACTGACCCCAAATAAACCCCTCACAGACTGACCCCAAATAACCCTTTCATAGACTGATAAACCCCTCACAGCCAGAATTACCCCCAAATAAACCTGTCCAGACTGACCCCAAATAAACCCCTCACAGACTGACCCCAAACAAACCCCACACAGCCACTGACCCCAGATAAACCTCCTCGATCTCCACCCGCCGAGTGAGCCGATGATAAAAATGGACGAACTCCTCCCTGTCCAGCACGCTGCCCTTACGTTTGCTGATGTTCCTGTTGGTGTCTGCCGCCTGCACGAGATGGAAACAAACATGTTCAGATCAGGGGATCGATTCGGTCCAGTCTGGTTAACGAATATATAGCGTGAGATCAGAAGATCGACAATGTCCAGGGTTTAGAACAAAAGATCGATTCTGTCCAGTCTAACGAATATATAGCGTGAGATAAAAAAATCGAAAATGTCCAGGGTTTAGAACAAAAGATCGATTCTGTCAAGTCTAACGAATATATAGCGTGAGATCAGAAGATCGACAATGTCCAGGGTTTAGAACAAAAGATCGATTCTGTCCAGTCTAACGAATATATAGCGTGAGATCAGAAGATCGAAAATGTCCATGGTTTAGAACAGAAGATCGATTCTGTCCAGTCTGTTTAACGATCTGTAGATTGATTCTGTCCAGTCTAACGATTATTTAGCGTGAGATCAGAAGATCGACAAGGTCCAGGTGAGAACAGAATATCGATTTGGTCCAGTCTGTTTAGAGAATAAAATGTAGAGAGACACCTAAAGGCTGATTTAATTCTATCTGTAAAACTATTATTGAGATTAGAGGGATATCACATGACTCTCAACGTACGTATATCATCAAACAGACATTAAGGTGGGAATGGACTATACCTTGTAAATAAAACGTACCTCCTCTCTGCACTACTTCACACCTCCTCCCAGCTCTAATCCGCACCTCCTCAATCCTAATCTGCACCTCCTCAATCCTAATCTGCACCCCCTCAATCCTAATCTTCACCCCTCAATCCTAATCTGCACCCCTTCAATCCTAATCTGCACCCCTCAATCCTAATCTGCACCCCCTCAATCCTAATCTGCACCCCCTCAATCCTAATCTGCACCCCTCAATCCTAATCTGCACCTCCTCAATCCTAATCTGCACCCCCTCAATCCTAATCTGCACCCCCTCAATCCTAATCTGCACCCCCTCAGTCCTGATCCGCACCTCTCAGTCCTAATCCGCACCTCCTCAGTCCTAATCCGCACCCCCTCAGTCCTGATCCGCACCTCTCAGTCCTAATCTGCACCTCCTCAATCCTAATCTGCACCCCCTCAATCCTAATCTGCACCCCCTCAATCCTAATCTGCACCCCCTCAATCCTAATCTGCACCCCCTCAGTCCTGATCCGCACCTCTCAGTCCTAATCCGCACCTCCTCAATCCTAATCCGCACCCCTCAGTCCTAATCCGCACCTCAGTCCTAATCCGCACCTCCTCAATCCTAATCAGCACCTCCCCCAGTCCTAATCCACACCTCCCCATGATCCACACCGCCAGTTTGAGAAGCGCCAACACAGACCGAGCTACCATTTGTCCTACCTCAAACAGCTCCCTCGCGTACTTCCGCTCTACGTCAGCGTTGAGCACGTGCATGAGGTTCATGACCTCCTCAAAATCCAGATTTCCGTCGTCGTTGACGTCCGCTCTATTGAAAGCTTGCTGTATGTTCGTGGGGGCAGTTAAGGCAACAACATACATGGCGATATTTGAAATTTAGCTGAGAAGTTACTACACTGGCGCCACAATAAAGGCATAGGTGGTTATAGTTATATTAGTTGTGCGAGATTAAGAAATAGTTAAGTACAAGTAAAATAGTCAGTGTTTCTTCCAGACTTTTGTCTCCTGGGGGGGGGGGGGGGGGGAGGAGGAGAGGGCACTATGTTTTCTTCGGGGAGCGGAGTAAATTTTCCGGGGGGGGGGGGGAATCGGACAATGGTAAAAGTATATGTTTTCTATATAAATTTCATTTCGTCGTCCCCCCCCCCACACACACACAAAGAGATGCCTGGGAAAAACTCTGAAAATAGTGTAGAGCACACGTTCAGACTTAATGGGTCATGGTTCAGATGAAATAGAATTCACGTGCTTTTGGTATTTGAAAGGATATTGTGGCCCGCACTACTATCGTAAGGGATCCTGTGTTAACGACCCCCTGTTAAGGCCCCAGTATTAGGAAATCATGTGCCTGGGATCAAGTTATTAGCGACCCCCTGTTGTGTGCCAGGGATCAAGCGTTAGCGACTCTTTTTTAGGGATCCCATGTTAGTTTCCGTCGTGTTATACGGATCCCACGTTAGCGAACCCATATTAGTGACCCCCCTGTTAGGGACCCCATGTTAAGAACAAATGTGTGTGTAATGGATCACGTGGCAGCGAATCCTTATTAGTGATCCCTTGTTAGGGACCCCATGTTAGGAACATGAATCCCCTTATTTGTGACCCCATGTTAGGGACCCCTTGTTAGAAACACACCCCTTATTAGTGACCCCCTGTTAGGGACCCCATCTTAGGAACACACACCCCTTATTAGTAACCCCCTATTGGGGACCCCATGTTAGGAACACACACCCCTTATTAGTGACCCCCCTGTTAGGGACCCAATATTAGGAACACACACCCCTTATTAGTGACCCCCCTGTTAGGGACCCCATGTTAGGAACACACACCCCTTATTAGTGACCCCCCTGTTAGGGACCCCATGTTACGAACACACAACCCTTATTAGTGACCCCATGTTAGGGACCCCATGTTAGGAACACACACCCCTTATTAGTGACCCCTTGTTAGGGACCCCATGTTAGGAACACACACCCCTTATTAGTGACCCCCCTGTTAGGAACACACACCCCTTATTAGTGACCCCCCTGTTAGGAACACACACCCCTTATTAGTGACCCCTTGTTAGGGACCCCATGTTAGGAACACACACCCCTTATTAGTGACCCCCTGTTAGGGACCCCATGTTACGAACACACAACCCTTATTAGTGACCCCCCTGTTAGGGACCCCATGTTAGGAACACACACCCCTTATTAGTGACCCCCCTGTTAGGGACCCCATGTTAGGAACACACACCCCTTATTAGTGACCCCCCTGTTAGGGACCCCATGTTAGGAACACACAACCCTTATTAGTGACCCCCCTGTTAGGGACCCCATGTTAGGAACACACAACCCTTATTAGTGACCCCCCTGTTAGGGACCCCATGTTAGGAACACACCCCTTATTAGTGACCCCCCTGTTAGGGACCCCATGTTAGGAACACACAACCCTTATTAGTGACCCCCCTGTTAGGGACCCCATGTTAGGAACACACAACCCTTATTAGTGACCCCCCTGTTAGGGACCCCATGTTAGGAACACACACCCCTTATTAGTGACCCCATGTTATGAACACACACCCCTTATTAGTGACCCCCCTGTTAGGGACCCAATATTAGAAACACACACCCCTTATTAGTGACCCCCTGTTAGGGACCCCATCTTAGGAACACACACCCCTTATTAGTGACCCCTTGTTAGGGACCCAATGTTAGGAACACACACCCCTTATTAGTGACCCCCTGTTAGGGACCCCATCTTAGGAACACACACCCCATATTAGTGACCCCCTGTTAGGGACCCAATGTTAGGAACACACACCCCTTATTAGTGACCCCCTGTTAGGGACCCCATGTTAGGAACACACACCCCTTATTAGTGACCCCCTGTTAGGGACCCCATGTTAAGAATACACACCCCTTATTAGTGACCCCCTGTTAGGGACATCATCTTAGAAACACACACCCCTTATTAGTGACCCCCTGTTAGGAACACACCCCCCTTATTAGTGACCCCCTGTTAGGGACATCATCTTAGAAACACACACCCCTTATTAGTGACCCCCTGTTAGGAACACACCCCCCTTATTAGTGACCCCCTGTTAGGGACATCATCTTAGAAACACACACCCCTTATTAGTGACCCCCTGTTAGGAACACACCCCCCTTATTAGTGACCCCCTGTTAGGGACCCCATCTTAGGAACACACACCCCTTATTAGTGACCCCATCTTAGGAACACACCCCCCTTATTAGTGACCCCTTGTTAGGGACCCCATGTTACGAACACACCCCCCTTATTAGTGACCCCCTGTTCCTTAAACTCAGCCCGGCCAAGGATATCTGTCCGTGGCGTTCCTCTGGTCAGCCAGCTGGTCCATGGAAAACCGGAGTGCCCGCACCCATTTGTCCCTGCTCTCCTTGCTGGGCGCCTTCAGGTACAAGCATTTCCGGGGGTCGTAAATCACCACAAAACACAGGTGTTTCTGGTGTAGGGAGTATGAAATTAGAAAAAATATATAATTGTTTAGATGTGAAGAATACTTCCGGGGGTCGTAAATCACCACAAAACACAGGTGTTTCTGGTGTAGGGAGTATGAAATTAGAAAAAATATATAATTGTTTAGATGTGAAGAATACTTCCGGGGGTCGTAAATCACCACAAAACACAGGTGTTTCTGGTGTAGGGAGTATGAAATTAGAAAAATATATAATTGTATAGATGTGAAGAATACTTCCGGGGGTCGTAAATCACCACAAAACACAGGTGTTTCTGGTGTAGAGAATATGAAATTAGAAAAAATATATAATTGTTTAGATGTGAAGAATACTTCCGGGGGTCGTAAATCACCACAAAACAGGTGTTTCTGGTGTAAAGAATATGAAATTAGAAAAAATATATAATTGTTTAGATGTGAAGAATACTTCCGGGGGTCGTAAATCACCATAAAACACAGGTGTTTCTGGTGTAGGGAGTATGAAATTAGAAAAATATATAATTGTATAAATGTGAAGAATACTTCCGGAGGTCGTAAATAACCACAAAACACAGGTGTTTCTGGTGTAGAGAATATGACATTTTAAAAAATAATATAATTGTTTTGATGAAGAGAATATTTCCTGGGGTCGTAAATCCCCACTAGACACAGGTGTTTCTGTTGTAGAGAGTATGAAATTTTAACAAAATAATATAATTGTTTTGATGAAGAGAATATTTTCGGGGGTCGTAAATCCCCACTAGACACAGGTGTTTCTGTTGTAGAGAGTATGAAATTTTAACAAAATAATATAATTGTTTTGATGAAGAGAATATTTTCGGGGGTCGTAAATCCCCACTAGACACAGGTGTTTCTGTTGTAGAGAGTATGAAATTTTAACAAAATAATATAATTGTTTTGATGAAGAGAATATTTTCGGGGGTCGTAAATCACCACAAAACACGTGTTTCTGTTGTAGAGAATACGAAATTTTCAAAATAATATAATTGTTTTGATAAAGAGAATACTTCCGGGGGTCGTTAATCGCCACTAGACACAGGTAGTGTTTCTTATGAAATGAACACATGATGTTAACTCAAATAATAATTGTATAGAATGTACACTGTAGATGAGAAAGTTAGGCCAGTTAGAATGAAAAAATAAGTTTGTTGCGGAAAATACTAAATGCTTAGTGTATGTTCCATTATGGGTAATACAACATTATTAGAAATGGTAACTAAAAACATGTAAACCAAAACTCCCAGTCATAAAGATTACAAGAGACCCATAAGTAAAAACAAAAAAATAACGCATTACATCAACGCCCATATGAACCATTACTAACGCATTTTTAATAAATATAGATGTTTATCATCAAGCTTGAGTAACCGTTATTGCGCACAGTTTGTTTTACTCAGTTCTTTCCCTTACTTCATTTTCTGCAAATTTCTTGGAATACTCCTTTTCCCCCTCTCTGATTTCTTTTAATTTGGTGAAAGGAACTGCAGATAAAATAAAATAAAGCATTTCAATAATGTATTGAAAAGCGATTGTTAGAGTACTATAAACAAATTGTCAGTCAAAACATGTACATGTAAATAAGAAATTATCCTTGAAATAAAATAAAACTTAAGACTTTTCACAAAGACAACGCCTATCAACTGTTTACTAAATCAAACAAATGCTGCCTTGCAGTTATTTCATGGATGGAATGAGGCTATGGAGGCAAATAAAAAAGGCTGAAATAGGAGTCAACGTCCTATACGGCGCATAACAGGTTCTCATGTAATACTTATTTAAGTTTGAGGAAATCCGCTCCAACATTACAATTACGAACGAAGAAGAAGAAGAAAGCGGTTTCCATATTTTTTACCCAAATTTTATTGGTAAAAAAAAACATGGAAAAATCTTGACAGCTAATTGAATGTACCTTGAGAGCGATATATTCCCTTAGCGCGCCTCTCTTCTGCACATTTTGCATAAGCAGGGTGGGGAAGAGATACATTCACACGCAGAGGCGTAGCGACCCCGCCCGGCGCCCTTGGACAAATTTTCAATTTGGCGCCCCCCCCCTATATATTTATTATATTTATAATTGAAAATAGCTAAAACTAGCTTGTTTTGGCGCAAAGGGTCGGCGCCCGGGGACATATGTAACCCCCCGGCTTCCGCTCCCTCACCCCCCCCCCGTCGCTACGCTTGTTCACACTTGCGCACACGCACACCACACACATACGCACTTGCGTAAATAGTTGTTATTTTTGGGGGTTTTTTTTGTTACCGTAGGTTGCCACTTAATACATTGGGGAAACATCGGAAGATTATATTCCCAACGTGTTTTACTGAACACAAATAAATGAGAGCAAGATAAGATAATGCTACATGGTAAGTTTGTTTAAAACATTTCCTCCTCCCCCCACCCACCTTTTCATTAGATCAGATATAAGCTTTAAATTGCTCAACTATCCACATACACTCACCTACCTCCCCCCCCCTTAGGTATTCTTTTTAACACTGTCTATTTAGTCACCTTATAACCGCTGTCAATTAGACTGAACTGTGTGTACTCTCATGTGTATGCGTGTATACGTGCTTCCATGCGCTTGTGTGTGTGTGTTTATGTGTAGCCTATGTACATGCGGATACCTATGTGCATATACATGTACATATGTATGTGTTTGTGTACACGCACATGCATGTGTGGGTGAATGCTAATACGTGTAATCCAGTTATCCGAATTTCATAAACATATGGTTAAAAAAGGTATATTTTGAAAATTTGCAATTCGATATTTTAATTTTAGCCCAAAATTGTCAAAATGAAGATTTCAACTACATTAAAAATACGCTCGTTCTCTTTATTTTTGTAACAACCAATATTCTTTTGTTGTTTAAATTAAGACGCATATTTTTTTTAAAAATTATCAAATTTTTTCTTTAACATTAAAATAAAAGTTCAAAGTGTGAGAATATATTTTGAACTTAAATGCTTCGAGATGGTAACAAATATGACAACGATATTTTTTTGAGTTGTGATTACCCATATTATTCAAAACGGTAAATAACGATATATATATATATATATATATATATATATATATATATATATATATATATATATATATATATATATATATATGTATGTATATATATATTACATATTCAACTGTATAAAGCGATATCTAAATAAAAATAAAATAAAGGGAAACCTCTTCACTGCAACGGGACAGTAAGAATCGTTACCATTCTACAGACAAGAAGGGGTTGAACTAACTTGCCAAATCGTGGAGTTTTTTCTTGGACGGTTCGTAGTAGATGAATTTCTTCTGCAGGTCCAAGCAGAAGTTCCGTTGCTGCCTGTTGCTCTTGGACTTGACCTTCTCCAGTAGCATGCCGCTGCCTAGCTCCACCAGAAGACGGTCCACTGGAGATTTTTAAAAAAAGATGGATGGATTAGTTGTTTTTTTTAAATTAGTGGGAAGAATTTGTTTTATTTATAGTAAGGCCACGAAAATTCTATGTGAATCGTGTGTCGGTGGCGTAGCAAGAATTTCGTCTGAATTTAAAAAAAAAATGTTTTTATGATATTTGATGATAAGATTCGTTTCTTTAAAAATAGATTCATGGGAAGAGTTTGTTCTATTTATAATAAGGTCGCTAGAATTTGATAGGGAATCGTGGAAATGTACCGGTGGCGTAGCCAGGATTTCGTCTGAATTTAAAAAAAAAAGTTTTTATGATATTTTACAAGATTCGTTTTTTTTAAAAATAGATTGATTGGAAGAGTTTGTTCTATTTATAAAAAGGTCGCTAGAATTTGATGGGAATCGTGGAAATGTGTACTATTGGCATAGCCAAGATTTTGCCTGCATGTATATTTATATTTTTTTTTGTTGTGATTTCACATTTAAAAAAAAACCTGAAGTATTAAAATCGGTACTTGGATAAAGGCTATGGAAGGAAATACTAAAAGAAAAGCAGTCTGAAGTCAACGGTCTATATAGCGCATAACACGTTAACAGGTAATACTTGTGTTGCAGGAAATACTATCCAACATCACAGTTTAAAACTGTCAGTTTTTATTATTGAATCACTTAGCAAAATTAACATTATTAAATAACATTATAAAAAACAAAATCACCCCCTAATTAAACATCCACCCCCAGCTAATGTTCCCTCTAAGGGGAAAAAAGATCGTGTGCAACTTATATTTTGTGTGCGCGGTTGTTCTAAGAGGTCTTATATAAGGTTACATGTATTTTTACACAATGACTGCGCGGTAGTTTAAAAACTACGCGCAGCTGAGAGGGAACATAGCCCCCACCCTTATATGTGAGAACCACTGAGGCAATATTCGCTAACTACGTGAAGCCGCAAACTATATCGAATTGATTTGTGTGTGAAAACGGACATGGTTTTCCAATCCCGACTGGCGTCAGGCGTCATTAATTTTGAAAGTTACAACCCCCCCCCCGTCCCCCCCCCCCCCCCCAACACTTTCTTGACTACCCAACAGTGTTATAGACAGGAGGTTGGTTGTTTTCACGTTTATGCCCCCCCACCCTCCTTTCCTCATTTTTTTTTAACGTTATGGGTCAAAATGACACAGCAGCGTTAAGTTAATCGTTTTATTGTGTTATTTTTAGGTTTATTTCGTTAAGATAATGTTATACTACTTTTTTTTATACATAAATTAACTTCAACAATAACAGATAAAATGTTATTATGCCCTTCACTTCAAATCAGTCGCCTTAAGTGTTTGCCTTTGTTACTATTTATGTACCGGGAGAAAAGAAAAAGTAAGTTACCCTTTTGGAACTAGAGGTCATAACCGCGGCAAATGAAGATATAATGTGGTCAGCACCATGCCCAACTAACTTTACTTAACGTGAGTCAGTTATCCACCAGCGCCCGGGATCCGAACCCAAGACTTTTGGGTTAATATGCGTACGCTCTACCACCCGACCATGCCGTCCCGTTGTCCACCCCTCCCCTTGTTGTAGCTCCCATATGTGTAAGTATATTACCTCCCTCACATATGTATATTGTCTCCTTTATTTGTATATATATATATATATATATATATATATATATATATATATATATATATATATATATATATAAATATATATATATATATATTATATATATGTGTATATTTCGAGCTATTTCAAGTCAAGGGCAATATTATTATTTTTGTACAATGGTATTACACCACCAGCAGGAATGTAATAAGACTTTTATCACACAATATGTTAGACTGTTATTAGCATAACAAGCAATACGTCGATCAAAACAAAACGGCATTTCTTTATTGCAACGATAAAAGTCGTTGTTTATTTTCTCAACTGATGGGATTTATGGATTGATAGATCGGACCCACTTTCAATGGGTTAATAATAAAATGGTGGTGTGGTTAGGTTGGGTTAGATTTGGGTGAATAGTTTTGCGCTTAGTTTAAGGTAAGTGTTGAAATGAGCTCTAACCACCAAATAACCCTTTGCGGTTTAAAGACCATTTCCCTTTAACAGTGGTTCTTAACCTGGGTTTGATGGAACCCCAGGGGTTCGGTGAGTCAGTCTCAGGGATTCTTATTAGGTCAAGACACACACCCAACTCTTATGATTCACGATATCATTTTGTCAGTGCGGACGATAGAACTATGGAAGAGTTCCGTGAATACGCATTTGTGATTTATATTATACGAGCCGACCCGAGGCATAACATTACGCCGCTATTTAGTTGTTGTTTTTTTCTACTTTTCAGTAATTCATAATTTGTGAATTCGACAGTACCAACGCTGACACTGAAAATATTTCTTTAAAACACTATAAGTAGCTCGTTAAGGATCATAACCCCCCCCCCCCTTCCTCCCCCCCCCCCCCCCAACGTTTAAAATAGTTTCAAACTAAATTATCTGCCCCTAATAGCCGTCACTAAACCCGACTCCACGAAGGTAAACATAGCGTGAACCACAGCTCACTAAGACCATGTAGGGGTGGGGATGGTAGAGAGCGCGTTTACAGCTTGTTTTCTAGCGTCTCAGAAGAGAATTATATATAGAGATAGATATTATATATTTAAACTTGTTTTTTTTATGTCAGATTCTTGGGTCATATTTATTTATTTTTTTTAAAAACAGAAAGATAACTATTTTATGTTGTTTTTTTTTTAATTTTTTTTTTTTGCTTGTGCAAAGCCTGGCCTTAACCCTAGCCTTAACAGTAACCCCAAACCCACAACCTAATTGCGAGCGTAGCACGAAGTGTATTAGCGACAGATGTCGCTACCCTAACCTCAACACTCCACTGATGTGTAGCGCGATCAAACAGTAGCACAGGTAGAAGGGAGAAGGTGGGACGGCCCGTTCAAGCGGAACACGTCGACATTAAATAATCATTTCATTCATCCGTGAGATATTTTAAATTCCCCGTTGGGAAGGGAGGGGGTCGATTTGTATTTCTGCTTTTCTTCAAAAAATAAAAATATATTAAAAAAAAACCCTGATATAAAGCATAATCATAATATCATAACAGCATAGTCTAAAAAAATATATTTTAAAAATATTTTTTTCGAAATATTTTTATTCAGTAGTTAAAAAAGCAGTGGTTCTTAAACTTTTTGAAAGTACCGAACCCCACCTGTTTCATAAGCGCATTTACTTATTAATAGTTCTATCGTCTTGTGAGCTATCGTCTATCGTCTTTACTGACAAAATCCCATGAATCACACAAGTCGGGTGTGTTTTGACCTCCACCGAACCACTGAGGCTGGCTCGCCGAAACCCTGGGGTTCGATCGTACCCAGGTTAAGAACACTGTTAAAGAGAAATCACTGAAATGGTATTTAAACTGGGTCAGCCGTGAGGGTTATTTGGTGCTAGTGGTTCGAACTAAAATGCACAAAACTATTTGGGGAAGGGGAGTATGTTCGTGTGTGTGAGAGAGGGGTGGGGGTGGGGGTAGAGTTATTATAACCGTACGCTTTACTTCTTAATGACAAAGCCATTATTGAAACCATGCAGAAAGAAGGAACATTACTTACGGTAGTTAACAGTCTACCCTTACAAAATATGAACTATAATTAAATTATTGTTACCAGACTTATAGTTAGCGTAAATCATGTAATAATTTAAATAATTAAAGCTTATTATGTCACAAGTTAATTATGACGTAAGTGTATATTGTCAGTAGGCCTATCTATATAAAAAAGGCATATACTGACAATTACACTTAAGTTGTAATTAATAAGTGACTCACAAGGCATAATGAGATAAATACATATAATTTAAAGCTTATGATTTTAAAAAAAATATTTGTATATACCACACCACAGTTAAATTTAACTAATTAAGTAGTTTTATTCGTCTGCACGTTAATACACAATCTAAAACCTTTGAGATTAGGTGAAAATATCTTACTTTATAAAACTTAGTCCATCCGCTCCGGGCTAAAAATACGAGCTAGAAAAAAACCAACACACCGGAAGAGAAATGATCAGATCTCGAGAGAGCCCTTACACACTTGTTAACGAATTTCTCAGACCTCACGGAAAAAAATGGTCCCTTTGTGGAGGGCGGGGTAATGAGTTTTCTCTTACTAATAGACAACCGCGATTATTACTGAAATAGAGCTGATTTTATGTTTTATAGTGGGTATTATTGTACTACCCGTTTTAGCTTTAGGACAAGAATTAGGGTTAGAACTTTGGTTTAGCTCGGGTTTGATTAAGGGACAGCAATAGCATGTATTGTTGTAATACCTGGTTTTAGCGTTAGGACCAGAATTAAGGTTAAGGCTAGAACTTAGGTTTAGCTAGGGTTTGATTTAAAGAAAAAAAAACGTGTATTATTGTAATTCCCCGTTTAACATTAGGGCCAGTTTTAGTGTTAGAATTTAGGTTTAGCTAGCAGTATTTCTTCCAGACTTTTTTCTCCGGGGGGGGGGGGGCACTTGAAATTTCCGGGGGAGGGGGGGGGGGGCGGTAGACTTTCTTCGGGGGGGGGGAGGGTGGACACTGTTAAAAGTATATATTTTCTATATAAATTATATAAATTTCATTTCGTTCGGGGGGGGGGGGGGGGAGGGGGGGGGGCGGTAGAATTTTTTTCGTCCCCCCCCCCCCCCGAAGAGATGCCTGGAAGAAAACTCTGTTAGCTAGCATTTGATTTAGGGTCATCAATAGCGATAACGACAACAGTTCGCTATTTGAGATTAAACTTTACTACCAGCAACCAAAACACCCCTGTTTTAAAAAAAAGGATCTATTATTGTGGTACCATTTCACCCGACACCGTTATAGACCAAAGACCACACAATCAAGTAACTTAAGACGTTAATCACTGCCCGGACAGAAAAGTAGACTTGTCTTGATGCATACAGCTAAACCCTAGTACAAGCGAAGTCGACTATGCGTTAATTTCAT